GCTAATGGCTAATATAGCTAATTACATTTTTCACTTTTGTTTGGAATACACCTTTACAGAGTGGTTCAATATGTAAAACATTGATACCAAGTGTTTTATTTCACCAGTATTTTGATCGTAAATCTTTTTTTTATGAAAATCAATATGTACTTGATAAAGAAAAAATATTGTAGTAAATAAATGTGTAGGATAGAACATTTTCCCTTTTTATATGCACGAGAAGAAGAATCGGAGTCAGAATCAGGATATAAGCTTTGGAATTAATTAGTATCAGTTCTTAAAAGGACCTGTTACAACAGGTTTTCCATTATAGAGAAGAATCACTTAACCATGCCAAGAACCATTTATGCATTCACATGATTCTTTGAGTGTTCTACATACACTCACTGCCTTTACTGAAAACTCTTGAAGAACCATTTTTTAAGGGCGAACCTGCGGCATCAATCACTGACACCTCATCTACTGACATCATCAATCAGTGCCATCTAAATATATAAAAATACAAGCCATCCAGAGAGACACTCATCAGCAGTGAGCTGAGGCCTCAAGCCTGCAGAACTGACACTGACAATAAAGAAAAGTAGCAGAAACAGGACCGGGGCACTGTGTAATGGAGACAAGAGACAATCATTGCAGTAATAATGATATTAAACTACATGATCATCATTAGTGCAGACAGCTAGGATGGCCTGGCCAGGTCATGGCTCACAAAGGCCTTGTGACTGAATCTGTTTTAATGAGATGCAATTGGCAAGACCCATCTCTGAATCAGCACCGCCGCTCTGTCTGGCTTTAACTCTGTGCTTTTGGGAAAGAATGATTTGTGGAGTTTCATAATAAAATGCAGAGGCATGCAAATCTTTCTGCCTATGGAAGCATCCTCTTTAAGGGGATATTAGTCTATCTGTGTGTTCCTGTTCAAGCTAGTTAGAGTGTATCAGCTAACCGCCTGCGGTCATGGCCAACTCAGATAAGCCTCTTCACAGAGGCTGCTTACCTGGGAGGTGCTTGGGGTGAAACTGATGCAAGAGGTGATAACTTCTGCTTTGAATGCAAACCGCTGGAAGTCTGTACAGCTTTTATTTTGTCATAATTTGAGAATTACATGGAAAATCAATGCAAGACTTTAGACAAGTGGAAAATACAGCAGTTTATTTCACGCTTGAGGATAAAAAAAACTTACCTTCAAATATGCTCTGATACAGTACTGATTGCAAGACAGACATTATGTATGTTCTTTAGGGCAGCACAGTGGCGCAGTGGATAGTGTGCTTGTGTGTGTGTGTGTGTGTGTGTGTGTATGTGTCTGCTCTGTAATGGACTGGTGACCTGTCCAGGGTGTTTCCTGCTTTCTGCCAAATGAGCGCCGGGACAGGCTCCAGCACCCCCTGCGACCCAGGTAGATAAGCAGCTTAGAAAATGTGTGTGTGTGTGTGTTTGTGTGTGTGTGTGTGTGTGTGTGTCTGTTCTTTAAAGCAATAGTTCAGTTACACAATTTATTAAATTTAAATTATCCTAAACCTATTCGATCAACTGAGACATGTCTGATGTCTGAAGTTTGCCTCTTTAGTTTTGTACTGGATCTACAAGGCTAAGCTTATAGCCTATAGAAGATATTCTTATATGGTTTGAAAACTGTTATTTATAAAAATGAACAAAATTGCAGACAAAATTCAGGCTGCTGCTCCTGTTTTTGTCTAAGCAATATGCTTCTGTCCAGTTTTATAGATAACAGTATGTTATACAGCATTCTAAAACATTATTTTAAGGGGAATTCCACCATTTTTTTTTAAATATTCTGTGTAATTCGATTGTTGAGATGTAAGTAAAGACATTCAAAGTAGTTTGATGTGAAATGGCTCATTGTATTGAAATGTACAGAATTGTCCACAGTAGTGTCAATAAGAACCAGATGTCCGAACCATTAAGCTACCTCTCAGAAAGTTATTACATGTTTACAATATGCTGCCTGATGGCTAAGAAATTGTTTCATGATAGGTTTGAAGGCATTGGACCTACAACATTTTTTTAACAAATACAGCCCTGTTTCCAAAAAAGTTGGGACGCTGTGCAAAATGTAAAGAAAAATAAAATGCAGTGATGTGCAAATCATGTAAACTCTATATTTTATTGAAATTAGTGCAAAGACAACATATCAAATGTTGAATCTGAGAAATTTTATTGTTTTTTGAAAAATAAATGCCAATTTTGAATTTGATGCCAGCAACACTTCCAAAAAAGTTGGGACGAGGGCATGTTTACCACTGTGTTGCATCACCTTTATTTTAACAACACTCTGTAAGCATTTGGGGACTGAGGAGACTGACTGCTGTAGTTTTCAAAGTAAAATGTTTTACTGTTCTTTCTTGATGAAGGCCTTCAATGAAAAAGACATTGTCTGGATGGCAGCATATGTTGCCAAAACTTGCATATATTGTTCAGCATTAATGTTGCTTCCACAGATGAGCAAGTCACCCATCCCATGTGCACTAATGTACACCTATACCATCATGGCTGCTGGCTTTTGAACTGTGTGCTGATAACAAGGCGGTTGATCTTTTACCCCAGAGGACATAGTGTCTATGATTTTTTTAAAAGAATTTCAAATTTTGATTCGTTGGACCCCAGGACACTTTTCCACTTTGCCTTAGTCCATCTTAAATGAGTTGCGGCCCAAAGAAGGCGGCAGTGTTTCTGGCTCCTGTTTATTTGTGGTTTCTTCTTTGTACAGTGGATTTTTAACTTGTCTTCAGTTAAAACTCTACCAGCTCGGAACAAACTGTGTTCACAGACAACTGACTTCCACTACAGAATCGTATCTGTATTTAAGGCAGTGCTGCATAAGGGGCCGAAGATCACAGCTAGCCAGTATAGGTTTTCAACTTTGTCCTTTGCATACAGAGATTTCTGTGGATTCTCTGAATCTTTTAATCACATTATGTACTATAGAAGTTCTTTGCTATTTTACATAGAGAAATATTATTCTTGAATTGTTGAATTTGGTTGTGCAGTCTTTCACAGAGTGGTGGCCCCCTCCTCATATTTACTTCAGGAAGACTCAGTCTCTCTGGGGTTCTCTTTTTATACCCATATCATGTTACTGACCTGTTCCTAATTAACCACCAGGTGTTTTTTTTAGCATTACACAACTTTACCAGTCTTTTGTTGCCCCCGTCCTGACTTTTTTGGAACATGTTGCTGGCATCAAATTCAAAATGGGCATAGATTTTTCCAAAATAATAAAATTTCAACATTTGATATGTTGTTTCATTTAAATATAGGGCTTAAATAATTTGAACATCATTGCATTCTGTTTTTATATACATTTTTCACATCATCCCAGCTTTTTGGAAGCGGTTATACATTCACAGTGGAGATGTACATGCAGGGCATTGTGAGACCTTGTGATTTCTTTACAATGGTGATGATAGGAACCAGAGGTCATAATGTCTACAGCAGAAATATAGCCATTTTATTTACAATCCAAAATTACTAGTGAACCTATATGTATCTTCTCTATTTTAATATGTAGTGCTGAAAATGATGACAAGTCCAAAAAAATAGGATGTCTTTGGGTACTATTTGGAAAAGCCCAGTATGTACCTCTCTGTCCTGAATGGCTTTAAAATAATACTTTTAGACCAACATTTTCCTATTAAACTGTAACAAAACAATAACTTAGACATCAAGCAGTGCATTCAGAACCATTTCATGTAATAACTTTCTGTCAGAGAGCTTTAAGAGGCATTAAAGTCATCAGATGTCTGGTTTTACCACCATTGTGAACATTTCTAAGTCAGTAAGTTTCTCAAGACTGGAGCATTTCACCTCAAACCACCCCGAATGACTTTGTTTATAACTAAATGGATGAATTATGCAGACAGTTTGAAAATGAAATTCCCCTTTAACACTGTGCTGCTATATAAGGCAATTACATTAGGTCTGAGGCAGTAAAACGGGCAGTAAAAGCGTTCTTTACTAGTAAACTACATTAGCCTTGTAGCTCCAGTGCAAAACTAAGGAAGTAAACTTCAAGCAACAAACATGTCTTGAATGATGGAATATATGGGGGAAAACTGTACAAATATTTTTTTTTTGCTGAAATATTCCTTTAAGCTAAGGCCTGCTCCCGCTGACGAGAGCCTGGCTCTGTGGCAGTACCCCTGTGTAAGTCCTAAAAACAACCCACTCAGCCCAAATGGCTTTGTTCCGTTTGTGGTTGGTGTATCACATGTCCAGAGAGCCATTTCATCACCTGTGACAAAAATGAGGTGTTGGTATTAAGTGGCCTGGTAGTGGTCTGCTGGGCAGAGTTAGTCAGTCAGCAGCTGCCTGGCTGCTCCAATTCGACTGCATAGGAAGGAACATGGAGGGAAAAGCCAGCCAATGAGGGAACAGCTCACTTCCTCCATATGTCAGTCATTTGTCTGTGGGCAGCAGGTGTGTAGGTACAGGCCCAGTCTAATCTTGCTAAGTGCTACATGTGCATAAAAGACCGCTCTGATAAAGTATAATGAAACAGAGCACAAAAGCACAAAACCAGCAGGTCATTTTAGATAAAGTAAGGTTTCTAGAGCTGAAACGGAGTTGAAAAAGGTGAACTCATCAGGATTTTTGTGTTGCAAATCAGTGTGTCTCTCAAAACATTCAAATCCAGTCTGAATCCATTCTTTACAAGTTTATTATCCTACCCAAGCCAACTTGGTAACTTGGTGTATTTTAAAAACTCATGAACTTCTACATTTAAAATGTAATTATAAAAGGAGATAAGCGTTTTTAGATCGTCCATCATGTGTTAACAGAATAGACGGATCTATACATCTGTTTCAACACAGCTAAGAAAGAATAAAAAAGCTTAAAGTATGATAAATATTTAAAGAGCACTATCGGTTTCCTCATGGTTGGCTCTCTCAGTAACCATGGCAGAGCCACATGCATTATTAACATGTTAACGGTAACACTGGCAGTGAGGCTGCTGGAGTTGAGCTCAGAGTGCCGCTTTTTTCTGGAGCACACACGCTGACTGGGATACTCTGGTAAATATGGGGAAATAAAGGCCGATCTTGCATACAGGCACATGAAAGGAGTGGATTAAAGTGGTACATTCTGTGGGAGATGTAACCTACTCCAGAGCTTTGAAATGGAGGGGACTTTGCCATCGGCGGGCAGTGAGAAGCCCCAGAAGCGGGTGAGGTTCCGGGTGGCGTCGGGGAACAGTGGACGGGTGTTGAAGGAGATGTTTAAGGATGAGGGTCCGACCGACTCTCTGGACTCGGACTGCACCAGCAGCTCGGAGGCGGATCGGGCCAGCACACCTTCCACCAGTGGGGAGCTAAACGGGCACCCGGGAGGCTACCTGGGCTCAGAGCTGGACGACAGCGAGAGTGAGCCTGATGACCTTCTGCTATTCGCAGGAGGAAAGGACAAAGACAGAGTTTTCAGTACCAAACGGGTCAATATCCTTAGCAAGAACGGGACAGTGCGAGGAGTCAAGCACAAAGTCAGCGCCGGCCAAATACTGTTCGACAACCTGACTAAAGTCAGCGGGGTGAGTAACAGCCAGAAGGAAGTGGACATATAGGACGGTCAGGCCTACTGCAGTGTGCAGGTCACAAGCTCACACACTGAACCACCTGAATATTTAATTTCACAACTGTTTCTTGTGTAATCTCACAAATTAATAGTCTTAAACACTGTGGACCTATTAGTGTGTTGTTTACTTTCAGAACTACATAACCTGCATAATAGTTTCATAGTAGTTATGTAATAATTCATAGTAGTTACTGGATAAGCCACAAGAATGGTAACTGAATAATAAAGTTTAAAGAGTTAGTTTGTACCTCTGTGCAGATCTTACTCCACCAAATTGCTGTGTGCTCATGCAAAAGAAGCTAAACCCAGCTCATCAGTCATTCCCAATTCTGACAACGTGGAAAGCCAAACTCTTCTAAGAATTGTCTATCACCAGTGTCCTTAAGAGGGTCAGAGTGTCCTTCCTGAACAGCGATTGGTTACAGCTCCTCTCTCATGCTCTGGCTGGACAGGCGAGCTGTCTTAGAGGACAAGGTCACTGTATGATTAAACATTAATGATACATTTCTTTAAGTGTTTCAGCTCAGCTAATCAGCTTAATGAATTCTTGTAACTTCCACTTTCTACTTACTGTACTCACACCAGCTTTCGTTTGGTATTGAATTTGAATCAGTTTTACAAATTTACCTGAGCCCTTTTCACTGGTAAACTTGATCTTAAAGGGGAATTCCACTGATTTTTCAAATTCCTGTGTAATTAACATACTGATTCTGATTTCTTTACAGTTGTGGTGATAGGAACCAGGGCTCACAATGTCAACAACACAAATATAGCCATTTGTTTTCTATCCAAGACGATCAGTGAACCTACACGTGTCTTCTTGGTTTTTATATGTAGTGTTGATAAAGGTAAAATAGTAATAAATCTGTAAAAAATCAGTTTCTTTATGTATTATTTTGCCTTACAACATCTTGCATGTACCTCTCTACTATGAATAGATTTAACTTTTAGATAAAGTTTTAGGCCAAAACTGTATCTCAAAACTATTGTAAAACAATGTCTCAGACATGTAGTAACTCTATATGACTTTTTATAAGTAGCTTTTGGAGGCATTCAACACGTCTGACCATAGTCAAGTTCCCCTGAAACGGAGCATTTCACAACAAGCCGCTCTGAATCTTAATCAAAAGAATCATGTAGAAATTTTGAAAAATCAGTGGGACACGATTGTAATTTTAAGACAGTGTGTTGTTTAAGAATGAATTTTAACCCTACATTCACCAAAACATTTGCTGTCCAGAGTTTGCTTCTGTAGTTTTATACAGAAGCTAAGAGGCTAATGTAGCTAACATGTAGTGGGAATGTACACTCAACCAATTAGCATTGCAAACTGCAAGCTTAATTCATCGCCCACTTAATAAATGACAAGTTGGTCTCAATTAGACTTATTACTTATGTGATTTCTAACACTGTTTGACCTATTGTTATAAAAGTTGGACCTAAAAGGTCACACAGTAAAAAATTGTAGTAGCAGCCTTGAAGCCTGAATTCTGTGCTATTTTAATAGATAACAGTGACTTGAAACCACATATGCAAGTCTGAGATTCCTTAACAACTCACTTAACAACAATGTGATGTTAAGCATCCTGCATGCAGTTTGCAGGATGCTAATTAATGCTAACAAGCTTCAACCAATTATTAGCAGGATCAGTTAACAATTAATACTGCACTGTCTGTTATGGAAAAGCTCAAACAGTCAATGACAAAAGAACTAAAGAAAGAAAGAAAGGAAGGCAGGCAGGCAGGCAAGCAGGAAGGAAGGAAGGAAGAAAGGAAGGAAGGAGGGCAGAAAGGCAGGAAGGAAGGAAAGAAGAAAGGAAGGAAGGAGGGCAGGAAGGATGGAAGGAGAAAAGGAAGGAAGGAAAGAAGGAAGGGAGGAAGGAAAGAAGGAAGGAAGGAAGGAGACCACAAACAGAAAAGCAAACACAACATTAGCCTCATAGCTCCAGTGCAAAACTAAAGAAGTGAACTTCAGGCACCAAACATGTCTTGGCTGATGGACAACATTTAACAAAAGGAGGAAAATTGTGTCTTATTTATGTATTTTATGTAGTTATTTCTTTTTTTGTGCCGAACTGTCGCTTTAAAGCATTTGTGACTGCCGTCCCTGGTAGTTATCAAAACCTTCTTAAACTGCAGAATGTCTGAAGCTGCGCTGAAAGGCTGTAATGTATAACTATCATTGTAAAGTTGCATTGTACCCGGGTTTTTGATATGTTGAATCTCAGGAAGGAAGAGCGTGTTCAGCACGGCGCTAGTGTGTCTGACACACAGCACACGCACTTCAGTAGGTCACAGTGCGTGAAGTGTTTCGCTTCTCTGATTCACTCTTTATCATGTGACATTTTGAGCTAGAAGTGAAAACATAGTTGCCCTGAACCCTCGATAACATTAGAGTTTACTAATATTACTAATACTAAAACTATTACTTCAAGGGTTCTTTAGTAAAGGAAATGGTTCTATTTACAAGCATTGGTTGTATATAGAACCATTTCATGCTTAAATTGTTCTATGCATTGTGAAGTGGTTCTTCAGATTGATGGAGAACGTGTCGTGCATGGTTCTATGTGGAACCTATTTGAAAATGGTTCTATATAGCACCAAAAGGGTTCTTCTGTTGTTTTGATGTCACGCTTGTAACAATACAAGAATCCTGTTTGGTGCAATATATACACATCTCAAACACACTTCATTTTGATGCTCTCTCTGTTTTGTCCACTGCACTGCAGCCTGAGCTGACGCTGGAGTTTGGGCGGATTGTGATCTACACCACTAGTTTCCGTGTGGTCAGGACAACGTTTGAGCGCTGTGAGCTGGTGCGCAAAATCTTCCAGAATCACAGGGTGAAGTTCATGGAGAAGAACATTGCTCTGGACAGTGAGTATGGGAAGGAACTGGAGGCACGCTGCAGAAGGGTGGGTGAGCCACCGTCGCTGCCTGTGGTCTTCATCGATGGACACTACTTGGGGGTCAGTCCTCTTAATAAAGCCTTTGTGACCTCTAGTTTTCTTCATGGATAGGACTGTGCAAAGACCACTCTTCATTTATTTAATTTCCAGTCAGAATAGCCATCAAGTGGAGAAATGGGACTCCTAACAACCATAGAGCACCAAAACTGTCACTTTCAGATAAACAGTGCTTAAAGCTTCCATCTTTGGGAGAGAGGAGAAAGATATAAAGACATAAAAAAATCCACAGGTGTTTCTGTTCATAATTCCACTGTGAGAAGAACACAACACTATGGGTCTGAAAGGATGTGTAGCTGTCAAGAAGCCGTTAGTTAGAAAAGGAAATAGACAAGAAAAAAAAATTGCAAATCGAACAAAGAAGCTGAAAACTGACTCAACAATGGAGTTCAGACCTCTACATTATTAGATGTGTTTGGGACTAGTTGGATTGTTAGAAGCAGAAAATGCAACCAACTTCTAAGACTGAACTTTGGAAAAATATCCCTGCAGAGTTTTTTGAAAAACTTAAAGCAAGTCTCCTAAAAAGAATGGAAGCTGTAATAAAGAAACTGAAATTTTTGGGATTCTTTTAGTTGTTCAGGCTTCTGTGTTATTGTCTGTTAAATGTGTTTTCTGCTTTTTTCTGGATCTGAAAAATTAATAACATGTTCTTAATTGCTGTTTTGACTGGAAATGAAAGAGTACTGTATATTACATGCATTATATGCAAAATGTTTTGAAGTGCATATGATAAACTGTTATGCTGTAATACATATAATATTCTTGTGTTTGACATTCATGTCATTAGCTAACATTTTGAACTGTGTGCATATTTTACTGTCCATTCACATCAAAAATATTTTACACCAATACCATGGTAACATACCTTTATGATACACCATGATATACCTTTGATGTTATATTTGATATATTTGTTATGTTGCTTCAAGGACAGCTGTACAGATACATTCACCATTCTGTGGTCTGTTTATGTTTACAGGGTGCAGAGAAAATACTGGGTATGAATGAATCAGGGGAACTGCAGGATCTCCTAACCAAAATTGAGGTAAATATTGGTTATTTTGGTCAGGTTCACATTACAGAGAAATGGGGGGAAGGGGGGGAGGGCTTTGGTAGCAAGCTCCTACTGAGGGGCTGAGGAAAAGGGAAATCAGTCAGACTGTGTGGAGCTCCAGCGTTGACACAATTTCAGTACAGAGGGTCAAGATTTGAGATATGGTATGAATAACTATGAATAATATATCAGTGAATTGTCATAAATTTTGCATAGACATTAATATATGTCCCATGAATAATGAACGATGGCAATATTGATTTGGTAGATGACACGGTTTAAGGCAAGTGCATGCTCACTGAAACACACACACACACACACACACACACACACACACACACACACACACACACACATAACAAGTCCATTCAGCAGTAGTGAGTCACACACTGTGACTCAGGCTCACTGGGAATGCCAAAGGCGATGAGCTTTCATAAACCCTGACCTCTCCTCATTTCCTCAGTAACCCTCCTAGGTCTACTATGGTGCATAAGCCAAGAAATGCCTTCTTACATTTTGCTCAGGTCTTAGCTCATAGAAACAAGCAGAGGAATCTTGCCAAAAGTGTGGCTTCTAAACTTTCAACTGGTACCACATTTCTACCACTAGTACAAGAACAAGGCCACTTTGCTGCCTGTTTATTAGGTACACTTTCCTTGTAGCTACATTTAGAAACATCTAATATTTAGGTGCACGTCGTAAGTTTACAGTTTCTGACTGTAGCTCATCTGTTGCTGCACAATTTATCTACTTAATCTATCAATTAAAATGAACCACAATTGGGACCACCTCTGAGTAGATATTTTTGGGTAGTGGACCATTCTCAGCACAACAAGCATGTCATGGTTTTGTGCTGGTTTGAGTGAATCAAGCACATTGCCACTGCTTGGGTTTTTAGACACTTTAAACACACTGGCCATTTTATTAGAAACATCTTGTTGGTTCATCTTGTATGTGCACAGTTGGAGACTGCAGCTTATTATTTTCCATCCACAATATATGTCAGTCATCCTCTAGCCCTTCATCAGTGGTCAGTTTCTGTTGGATCCACTGTTGGCTGGATATCTTTGGTAGTGAAAAACTCTGATGTGCCTGATACACTCATACCAGCACCGTACTACTATTGTTAGAGTCACTGCTGTTGTCCAGAGCTAAGATCAGTGTCATCACTACGTGCAGGGCACGACAGCCCTGCTGGAAAAAAACAACACAAACCAGCATGCATTCCATGCTGGTCTATGCTGGTTAATGCAGGTCCGGTGGGGGCCTCTTATTTAGATGCTGGCACAATTGTACACGTATGACTCACAGGAAGATCCAATTTCTTAACAACACACCTCACTATTTGCTTCCATCAACACTACACAGACAGCCTGGGCATCTGTCTTTCTCCCCAGTGTTTGTAATGAATCTCATCTACGGTAAGCATTTTGGGGTGGTTTCTGGCCTAAAGCATATTTTTAAAATATTCGCAGCAGTGAGGTGCACACAGTTCATTTGCTACTATTTGACTACTATTAACATAACATAAATCTCACTTTGGAAAGTAAACAAAATGGTTGTATTTGGGTTGTAGATATTGTGATGCTGGGTCCTTATCACCACCACTATAAAGAAATTATCTGTTTCTCTGCAATAGACCATTTCACATCAAACCACCCTGAATGACTTTGTTTACATCTCAACAACAGAATTAGGCAGGAATTTTGAAAATACTGTGTTAACTTAGGGATGTGCTGTACATTAATACAAGATGCAACAAAAAATTTAGTTAAGTTTCTTGAGTTTGTGCTTCATAAACCAGGTGTGTATGTTAATTTGATATATGTCAAAGAAAGACCATAATTCTTAACAACCTACCTCACCAGTTAGCTTCCATCAACACTACACAGACAGCCCTGACGTCTATTTATCTCCCTCTTACTCATAACGCACTCATCTATAGTAAACACGTTCAAACCGATCCTTCACAACCTGCAACATGAAATCTTCGTTATTTATAACTCTAAAATCTTCAAAAGACAGTCTAACAAACATTTCCATTAACATTAGATGCTTGTGGGTGGAGTGGCATGCTTTGAGAGCATCAACTTGTTTGCGACAAAACAACAGGGAGCAAACAAGCGATTTAAATAGTTCATTTATTTATTCATTAATTTAAACTAATTTTGTATGGGGGTATATTTTTTGCACTGGGGCCATCTTAGTTATCATGATGCGAGTTTTGCCACTGGCTAAGATTATGGTCATGAACCATGCTCATTGTTTTCCTCACTTATGTGTTTTTTGCTCTGTAGAGGGTACAGCATCCCCACACATGCCAGACGTGTGGCGGCTTCGCCTTCGTGCCCTGCTCTATGTGCCATGGCAGTAAGATGTCCATCTTCAGAAACTGCTTCACAGACTCGTTCAAAGCACTTAAGTGCACAGCGTGCAACGAGAACGGCCTTCAGCCATGTCCCAGCTGCTCTCACTAAGGTCCTCTTCAAGTGCCTGCTCACCTACTGACCCCACCCAGTCCAGCCCTTCTCCCTCTTACCCTTTTGGCCATGCAAATGACTGCACCAGACAGAGAGATGACTGCTTTTTTTTCTCCTGTGGGGATTGTCAATAAATTTTGTTTATAAGAAAACAATACTGTCTGTCAAAGCATGTCATTCTTCATCAGCTTTATTTAGTTTGACAGTATAACTTATCATTTGCCAACACAGGTCATTTAATATAGTCATAGTACAGTCTCAATGTGTATTATTGCAATTTAGTGCTGTATTTAAGTAAGAAAACCACTGACATGAAATCAGATATAGCTCACTGTAACCCAGGAAGCAAAACTCTACGTTTTACCTCTTCAAGTGAATACCATAAGAGGTTGTGGTGGATATCGGTATTAGGCCTATATCAGCAGACAATGTTGGATTGGAGGGAAAAAAAAGACTGAATCCAATCCAGTACTGTAACAAATCTGTACTGAAATAGCATACACTCGCATTGTGTGCTAACATCATGTTGTTAGCAGTGCATTTCATCCTGTTCGATTTGAGTATGTTGAGTACTTTTAGTGTTCATTGCAAGGGAAGTGCTTCAATTTAAAAAAAGCTATTTTAAAATTTGATTTAAAGCAATTTTAATGAAAAAATATTGGATTGGTATCAGTATTAGTGGATACTCATGGTGTCCATCTCAAATATATTATACATATATATTACAATATACAGGGCAGACTAATTTGGCATCAGTGAGTTTTTAAACACACTTACTGGCCACTTTATTAGAAACACTTACCTTGTAGGTGTACTACAGCTCTAGAGTCTGTAAGTAATTAGACAGTGACACTTTTTTTGTTTTTTTTTTTTAGTTGTTTTTTTGTTTGTTTTACTTTGGCTCTGGACTCCAGCACATTGGATTTAAAGCCCAGACTGTCAGATTTAATCTTTGTCCGTGTTGAATGAACTGTGTGCGAATTGCAGTGATTTTTATACATATTCCTGACTGCTCAGTTCTTTCCTGGCCAACAGAGAAAAAATAAGGGGTAGAGTTGACTGTAAAAATGCCATCTGCATCCGGAGTCTGTTGTCTCTCAACATGAAGACCAAAGAAGTGTTTGTGCCAGTACAACAGGCCATAATGAAGCTGAAAATTCAGAATAAATCAATTGGAGACACAAGAAACTTTGTTGTGTCTGGCACAATCAACTACTTGGTACCTAGCCAGAACACAGTGTACACAGTTTAACAGTAATTTGGTGGATCATGGAGGACCACAGTGGATGACCAATTATAAGGAAAAAACTTTTTTTCTTTTGTCTTAACTGTTCAGCTGTTAACCTCATGACGTCAGAGGGCTTAGCACATGATCCACGAAACCACTAAAATAGAAAGAACAGGAAGGATATAAGAACATCAAACATCTGCAGAATCCAGTCAAGCTCTTTTTGACAGAAGAGATGAAGATTAACCTGTACCAGTGATGGAACATGGAAAGTGCAGGGAAACTGGTCATGACACAAATCATCACTTCATCTGTAAAACATGGTGGAACAGGGATGTATGGCTGCCCGTGGAACCAGATCATTCATCTGTTTTTCATGACTTGACTACCGATGGCAGCACCAGAATTATTTCTGAGCAGTACAGAAACATATTAACATCACAGATCCAACCAAATGAATCCAGACTGAGTTGATGACACGCAGTAGCAAATCAAGGACCTGAAACATAGAAGTAAAGAAACTATAAAGGGTTTCAGGACCAAAAAAGTGGAAGTCAATCAGCTGACCTGAACCACAGAGTCAGACTGAAGACAAGACTGAAGCTCCCACAGCAATTAGGAACCGAAAATGGCTGTATCAGCCTGCAGGCCTTGCTGGGAAGGATCCCTTGTGTTTGGTCAAGTCTTTGAGTCCAGAGACGTCAATGACTGTAAAAGATTTGCGACCAACTTGAGAATTTCTTTCAAGATCATGTTTATTTTCCTAATTACTTTTATCCCCTGAAATGAGTGCACTATGCACAAAATATCTTCAAATAAAAGCATCCTTAACCTCGCATTCATTTCAAATCCAATAAGCTAGAGCCAGAAATTGTGACACTGTCCAAATACTTACGAACTGCACACATCTTTCATTGACAGCAGTGGAAATATACAATGCAAAGAAGGCCAAGTGCAAGCTTTAACACAAGCAGCAACGTGTCAGCAATGAACAAGAGGTCAAATTATCTGTCATTTCCACGAGAGCCTCTTGTCCTCCGTGCTGTACAGTACGTCCACTTCATGATGGCTCACAGAGACGCTGATGTGAGTGTACAGATGTTGTCTGAGCCTGGCAGTCCGCCGTGTCCCAGAAACGTGTATGTCTCTGTGCTGTCATAGCCCTGTACAATGCTGCTTGATTCTGATCCCACAAGGCAGCATTGTAAAGAGGCTCACAGCGCAGAGCAGCAACGGCACACCGGAGAGAGCTCGTTTTCTCCTCGGCAAAAACAATGCAGGGTTAAAATAGTGCTGCTAAAACAGGCAGCCGAAATCATGCAAAAAATATGCGGTTTTATGCCACGGATCCTGCTGTCATTTCCAGTTTTCGAAACATAAAACGAGCTGCCAATGAATGACGGTAAAGGAGAAGAATAAGGCAGGAGATGTGATGGTCAACTGCGCCCCCTGTCGGGGAGTTTGTAAGGGAAACAAAACATGCTAATCAAATGCACAGCAACATCAGCTCCCTTCAGTCAATTAGATGAACATGCAAGTCAAAAGAGGAAAACGGACTTCAGTAGTGACTAAAGCTCTTTCTCAGTTCTTTTTTGTTGAGAATTCTGAAACATTTCTGTCATTTCTCTCTCAATTTGTACCAATATAAACAACAACAATAAAAGGAATAAAAAGAAAAAAGATAATTTCACATGGGTCGTAAAATCCAGTCAGCCCTTATGAAAAAGATCTATAACAATAGTACAGGAATGTATACAGGATTCCTCTAAGAAAATAATACATTCAGATAAAAAATACTCTAATTCACTAAATGATATTACACAAGCATTACATTTAAGACATTAAAATGAGGATAAAATATTACTATATTTTTACAGAACCATTTTACAGCACCATGTAAGTCATATTCCATCGCATTACTATGGATTTTCTTTGTAAGGAAGCTAAATCGACCAACATTACGTTTTATTACATGCAACGTAACGTATCTATAAAAGAGGTGGCAAAGCTGCTGCTCCGCCATCTTTTAACACAGTATAAAACATTTTTCACAGAAACCTGCTTGACGTTTCCTGACACGGAGCATGGCGGGTGATCCAGTCGGTGATGACGGGAGGACAGGCGCCTCCGAGCCGCTGCAGAAGCTCCGCGCCTCGGTCTCCTCCAGATTAGCGACCCGCCGCTACCAAAACGCCGTTTTCCTTCAGATACTGATAAAAGAACGGCTCCGAAACCCAGAGCTCATTTTCACATGCTAAAAACAGCTCTCAGCAGCCTCAAACTAAAAACCCTTTCAAGGAATCATCACTTCATCTATCCTGACTCCCTGGTAGCTCATCAAATACGGCACCATTTTGAGGAAACCATGAATTTCTTGAGGTAGGGTTGGAGTTCCCATGGTATTTTTGCTTTAATGGAAAGATTTCTGAGCCAATCCCAATGTAAGTAACGACTATTGATGATGCAGCTGACCAATGGCTTCAGATCTACTGGTTCATATATTTCAAACATCAAGGTTTGCTTGGACAGTGTGAGAAATACATAAATGTAAACAGTGACCACAAAACACCAGAACAATAGATGAGGTTGTAAAATGAGGACACACATGGGCTCAATATAGTTTCATAAATTAATTGCAGTTTATTTAATCAGCCTTGTTTAGAGGTCCATTAATCTAACCAATCAGCAATCTGACAAACATTTAATAAAATATACAGAGAACCTATAAGAAACCTAAACCCACCCTGAAAAAACAAATCTTAAATAGCCCTCACTGAGAAAGCAGGGTTTCACCAGTGGATCCAAGTGTACAGAAGTCTTCTTTCAACCACATTTGGCTATGATGAAGAATGTAACATTGAGTTCCTGTCACTGAGGGGAATAGACATATTTATACAGGTGTAATGATGTCCAGTACGAAGCACATGTGGAAGGATACACTATGTGACTTCAGCACAGAGGAACACAATCTAGGGTAGATTGCTAGAGCACTTTTTTTTTTTGCAGTGGACCGATGCATGAGACATATCAGCAAGTACAGATGGATGATTCAGCTGGACCTTCAGAGTTCTCCTTAATGAACACCACAACATGCATGAGGTTTGGTAGAGATCATGGTCATTTCACAATGTGTAATTATTTACAATGGAGAGAAAGAGGCAGAAATACTTGCTTTGTATTCAGATCATTAATTCTTATTCACTAAGCTCCTTTGTTCAAACAGGTCAGTGTGATGAAAGGTACATTTTATTGTATAATCTCTCAAATAAATTGTTAACAGAGGATAAGAATGGAAATCATAGTCTCCAAGTTCTTTACATGAATAGAGGAATATCACAAGGGTACTGGGTGCATTCTGTGTGTTTGCTTCTTCTGGCTTTAGAGTGGTTCCATCTGTGCTTTTCCTTCAGAATTCCTCTCACTTTGAGGTTGCATTATCAGCTAATATGTTCCAAAAGTATGTCTCATCTAGGACTTTTATATACGCATTTCCTGATGTATGTTAGTTACAAGACCAGGAGTGGGCTAAAAGGCTGAACCTGGATCAGCACTGGCGTACAAGATAAAATAAACTGAAGTGAAATTCACAACGGACACACATAAGAAATATTTAAAATCACATTAACTTGACTGCTTTACAGTAGTGCTGAATGCTCATCTCAATTTGTGGCTCAATATATCTAGTCAGCTCTTATGAGAACTGATCTCATGTCTCTTTAAACAAAGCGAATATCACATTTCTTTGTCATTATCATCAAATCATTTAATGATCGTGACTAATAAACATGTTGGTAAAGTCTATTCAATATATAAACTCACTGGACAAAAAATTAGTCACATGTATCATTTGTTCTCTATTACGTGGTTATGTGTCACCTTCCATAATGACAGCACAAATCCTGTCAGACTCTTGAGATTCACTCTTCCTCTAACTTTGTGCTTCTTGTCTGAGCAGAACACAACACTGACACTCCCACATTCCAGAATGACAACTGTAGGGTGTCTGTATGTGACTGGTTTAAGAGACATGGAAAACACTGACATCTTGACTGACCAGCAAATCAGCACACATCAATCTCAATTCTCAATTTGGAACAGCAGGAGAAATGCTAAAACTGTCACACAAACTTCAGCTGAAATGTGCACCCAATTTGTAGATCAGTGGGCTAGAATGGACAGGAATCTCAAAAGACTGGTGTAATCCGTACCTGACAGGACTGACACCGTTATTAAGGCAAGGGGATGTGTACATAAACAAGTAAGAAAGAAAAATCATACAACTAATTTTGTCTGGTGAGCATATGTATCTACTTCAGTTACTCTTCATCAGAAGTCATGGGAAAATGTAGTCTGTATATGGTCTGAGCATATGGTTAAAAAAAAAGCCAAAAGGGACTCTTCAAACGTTTTCCCCACACGTTACACACTATGTCTGCTTTGCAATGTAAATAGAATACTTGTGGAGTAAATAATAAATACTTGTTGCTTGAAGCACAACGGATATGAGGTTCTGTTCCTTTACTGGTGAAAACCTGTGCTCTCTCTTCTTACCAAGACCAGATGACTGTGCTTTGTTTGCTGCTTCACCAAGATTATTAAAAAAAAACTGTTTTGGGTTTTGTATGAAGTTATAGAAGCTGAACTGCTCTGTGAAATATTCCTCAAGCCATATGTACGTCTATCAACTCAGAGTGCTGTTTTAGGATCAGCTTTTGCCTCTTAATCCTGCTAAACACTATTCAAATAGATGTAAGGAGGCTGAGGCTGATCCTACACCAGCACTACAGTACATTAACATGAGCCCATTTCAATAGTGCTCACCAATAAAGCATACCAGCATTTCTGGATGTGTATTCTCTCAGGCCTATTGTGCATGTAGCTGCAAACCTTATAGAGTTTCTGCGCTGTAAGCTGACAAAACGGGCTGAAACATCGCTCCTGAGAGTGCTTAGATGACATAGGATTTCTGAAAAGTAAGACTTCATTTGACTGGTGGGTCTGAGCAGTGTCACTCAAGGTCCAGACCGTCTAAATCGTCCTTCTGTTGTCCGGCTTGTTCTCTGCCATACTGACACTGCTCCCCTTTCTCAGGATCATCAGAGAATCTCTAGATCTACGTGTCGCACCTCTGGATTGCGTTGCTGTTTTCAAAACAAGAGAATGAGTCAAATTCAGTGACATAACTAAAGCAAAATACGACTGAGATAATGTTTGAAATCAATGGTCTTTGTGAATTTTGGTCAAATTCATTAGCATAATGTATAATAAAATAAAAATCCATATGCTTTGATGAATGGCTTTCACTAAAGTTTACTGCAGTCAAAATGAACATCTCTTTAGACTTCTAGGATAGCTTACATTCTGCATCTACATTACATGCTGCATTTCTCTCAGTCAAAATACAACACAGAGAGAGGGAAGTATCTCCCAGTTTATTTTTCAGTTTCCTCTGATTGCACGTTTTTGTGCTGTCTGTTGTATTTAGAGCTAAATCTACCCTGACAGAACAGGTTCAGCCTCTATATAAGACAGGAAGCACTGATGCAGTGTCTGTAAGTAGAGGGACACGGTGGTCCAAAATCACCTCTCACATTAGGCTGCCAGAAGTAAGAGACAATTTTAATCAAGCACCTTGTGTTCATCTGTCACTCTAATTAGTGATCTTATGAGCAGATCTGAATTAAAATAGGACACGTATAAAATTGAATGTAAAAGTTTAGGCCCCTTTAAATAACATGTTTGTTGATTTTCAAAGTGAAAGTAAGTTATACATCCTCTAAAGAAAACACATTTCTGCACTATTTTATAATTGTTATATATTGAAAAAAAAAATCGTGTAATAACTTTTTTCCTATATGTTAAACTGTGCACTAAAATTTGTTCATTTTGACTTCAGGGATCAAATGTTTACATAGTTTCCTGTAGAGCAGGGGTGTCCAATCTTATCTGCAAAGGGCCGGTGTGGCTGCAGGTTTTCACTTCAACAAAGCAAGAGGTCACCTGATGAAACATTTGAAGACTATGACTGACTGATTTAACAAGTGGAGTCAGGTGTGCTCCAGCTTGTTTGGAGTGAAAACCTGCAGCCACACTGGCCCTTTGCAGATAAGATTGGACACCCATGCTGTAGGTGTGTGACTGGGGTGTTCAAGCATATGACGGTTTTGCATAGGTGTTGTGTGAGAGTAAGAGAGTGGCCCTGTTTACACTTGGCATTAAAATGCATCCCATGTTCTCTGCATGAGCATTTAAAAGATATCAAGATATCATATCACACAGTGTTCTGATCTAGCTGTCCTAATCCTGAGGTAGTCAAGCATGCATTATGTTCAGATCTGTGTGTATGTGTAAACACAATGCGGCCAGCTTGGCTACATTTGTGGTCTAACGTCACACGTGCATCATTCACACCTTCTGATATCGTTGTTGCCTCTCTCGATAAACATGTTTAGCCGTCTGCAAGTGTTTAGAATTACAAACAAGAAAGTTGAAAAGCCACTGCTGCCTGTGAAGGACCATAAAATTTTCTCACCACTCCTGCCAGTGACTCTAACCCATATTTTTCTTGACTGTGCTTCAGTCATTATCCAAATGCCAAAGCTACATTTGAAAAGGGGAAGTGTAAATGTGCCTTCTCTTGATCCAATGATGATCGAATGTGAATGCCAATTGTTAAAAAGGGCCAGAGTGAGATGGTCACAAACCTTGAGCTCTTTCTCTAAACGATCCACTTCTGCTCCCAGGGTGTCGATGATGTTCTCCCCATGCTTCAGCATGAAAGATTCCAACTCCTCTGGAGTTTTCACCTGCTGAATGTCCTATATTGTAGAACCCAGCCACAAAACACATGCACAGTTCAGATGTCTGGTAGTTCAAATATGCTGTCAAATGCTGTATATTTGTCAATGAAGGCAAATATTGTTACATGAATATTTCAATTACATATTACTTTCACACCACTCCAGAAATATACTTATTTGAAGCTAATTATCATTACAAACAGAGGTGAAATCAACTGTCTAATGAAATTGGTCTTCATAGTCAAGCCTATGGCAAGCTTTCTGAAATGTGCAGTATTGCGTTGATGGTGTTATTACACCTGAGGTCAGACTGCCCAGAGCCCAGAGTTTTGTCACTAGCATCAACACTGAAAGCAGTGCAGTGAGTTCACTTTTTCAGTGTTGTCGTTCTGAACATACATGTAGGATCTGGTCAATGTCCTGCTTTTCCAGATAGGATCGCGTAACCACCCGCCCGTCAAAGTCCACCTCTGCCTTGAACCGCACTGTACTCAGCCCCATATCTGTGGCCTTCACATCGTGAATCGCCCTGAGAACACAATGCAACCAGATATATACACTAGTACCATAAGCACTCACTTGCCACAATGCAGAATCACTATTAACAGACGGGATTAACCCCTTAAAATCCCAGGCTTATTACAACCTAAAGGCTCTTTATTCAGTAACTACATGTACTCCAATGCAAACTGTCTGACCGGCCCTATCCTTTTAATACGTTAAACGAGGACAAAGTTCTGTGCCTTGTATTCCAGCAATAAGAAAAATCTCTAATTAGCAGGGTGATGCTTCTGCTCTTGACAGAGTGGCGGAGACTGACCTGACAGCAGGGTCACTCTCCAGGAACTCTGTTAGCTTCTGGACGTGCTCGGCCCGAATGGAGCGGCCCAGCAGAGCCTCAGTGTTGGTGTAGATGAGGAATGCTGAGACTGTGCCCAGTAGAGTGCCCACACCCAGAGAACCCAGGCTGTCATAATACGGATTACCTGAGAGAGAGAGAGAGAGAGAGAGAGAGAGAGAGAGAGAGAGAGAGAGAGAGAGAGAGAGAGAGATATTAGTCAGTACCTAACAAAACAGTGGCACGTTAAATCTCTTCTCAATAGTCAGTAACGGTTCCAGTTAATATTTTAAATATTTTTAATATTTTATATTTAAACCTTATTCTCTGTTCATATTACTCTTTTGTTATTGTTTGCTATCCGGTGTCGACCAGAGGAGGATGGGTTCCCCTTTTGAGTCTTGGTTCCTCTCAAGGTTTTTTTCCTCTTGCTCTTAGAGAGTTTTTCCTTGCCACTGTTGCCACTGGCTTGCTCATGGGGGCTTGGACCCGGAATTTTCTGAAAAGCTGCTTTGTGACAACGTCTGTTGTAAAAAGTGCTTTATAAATAAACTTTGACTTGACTTTGTTCAGCGATGCTGTAGATGAACATGTTCTTCACCAATTTAAGCGTTTTTTTTTCTCTATGTGATGTGTCACGTTTTGTCTTCATTTACATACATTTAAAAATGGATTATAGCCTCAGTCTTGTGCTAATGAGTGGGTGCTGACCTGAGCAGTAGTAGGGACAAGCAACAGAGCAAAAACATATCATGATCCATGATACATTATACTTACCACAGTATTTTATTTTTCTGGGGGCTGATGAACATCAGCAAAATCTCAATGACACATTTAAACTTTTTTCGCCCCAAAAAAACACAGAACAAAACAAAAAAACTCCAACAATAGTAGCAGACTGTTTTTCCCCAGTGTCAATGCACCTCAATGTCAATGCTGCACCTCACTACATCCAGATGAACTAATTATGCTCTCATGATGGCACATGCTAAATTCAAACTTGTGATCTGCCAATAAGATGGCAAAAAGCTTACACAGCTACACCACTTGGAGCTCATGTTCAATCCCTTTTCAATAGACAGACATACAAGAGGAAATCTAGGAACATGCAGTTGTTCAGCGTTCTTTAAGCACTAAAAGTATCTACAGTGTACAGAAAAGCAGAAAGGCTTATCACAGCACAATTTACTGTGATAATTTCAACATATCATCAACCACTGAAATTGAGTACTACAAGTATCCTAAAATACTAAATGTATACTAAAGAATATCAAAAGTAAGCAATGAGTCGTGTTTACCTGTGAGTGAGGTCAGACCCATACATCCAGCAGCCAGCACCACTCCCAGAACAGCTGCAGCATCCTCTAGCAGGACCACGTTGGTGCTGGGGTCCCGACTCTGCATAACTGAAACACAAGCGTCCAGCTCAGCGATAAATAACAAGTCACCTCTGCTAACTCAGACAAATGCTCTCCGCTCCAGAACATTCGGGCTAAATACACAAGCCAAGAGCAACAATGGCTCAGTGTGTTAGCCGAGTTGCAGCACTCCTGGAGCAATTTCATAATGTCTTGCACAAGCACTGTAGCCTTGAAACAAAGCAAACCTGCTCAACTGCTCTACTATTACACAAGGTATTAAAAAAAGCAACACAAATAAAACCCAAGTTTAACATTAAAGTTTGAATTGATTAGTTGAACTGATGAAAGTCTTTCGCACCATATTCATAGAAGGACACTCCTTGCTTGTGGGCACTCTTCCTGATCTCATTAATAGCCACCAGTAGTGTTGCTGCAAGAAGGAACCATATAAGAACCATAAAGTTATACATAAGGTGTAATATATATGCTTAAAATTAACATTTACGAAAGAAGCCCCATCAAACTGTGACATTTATCAAGATGAAACATTACCTCCTTCAGAAACCAGAGATCCAGCCAAAATACAATATGCCTGCAACACAAGAATAGATATTATAGATAAAGAAGGTCACACACAGCAAAACAGGTAATGTTTTCTCCAACAATCAAAAACGGGTGGCCACTAACCCAAAGCAGTGATTCCATTGGTTGAGGGTGCAGAAGTCCCATAATACCGTGATACCAGGACAGGCCAGCTCCCATCATGAAAATGCCCACTCCACTAATGAGGGAGGCGATGTAGCGCATGTTGGAGAAGCCGTATCTTTGAGAGACAGAAGAGAATAAGAAAATAAGCACCTCTACTGAGTCTCAATAACTCATTCAGACAATTATCAATTCACATTAACTGTAACGCATAAAGAAGCACTGAAGTGACTGAGCTCTTACGGGTGCACGGCGTCTGGGTTGCGAACAGACTGACTGATGCCCAGTGCAAGGAGTGCCTGATGTTTAGAGAGGAAAGCACAGGCATAAGGCATGTAAAACATAAATTCATAAAAACCAAATACTACAGGTAAAGTCATTACTGCTACTGGAAAAAAAAGGAGAAAAGTGCAGCACAAGTGCATTATCCCTTTAAAGCATAGCTGTTTCTCTGCCTGCCTGTTCATATCTGGGGTTATTAGCAGCCCTGCACTTTTATAAAAGCAAGCTTTTATTTGCTAATATCAGAATAAATACAACTAACATTAATACAATAAGTAGTGATTTAGTGATGTCAATGTTTTTGTTTAACTATTTCCAAACCCCACGCTGAGGAACCCTAGGTACTGTTTGTAGTTATCATCAAATACCTGGTTTGATTGATCAATGCTTCATTATATTAATTCAGGTGTGCTGGAGGTGGATTTGAGCAAACAGATATGATGGTTGAGAACTTCAAAGGAAAATGTGAAACCAAACCTATGTTCTTCTTACCAGCTCACGAGATATTAAGTACTTTTTTAAAAATAAGACATTCTTCTTCCTTTTCTGCATTAATGCTTGTTTGTATTTATTACAGTGTATAAACAAAAACACAGTTTGCTCAGGTGGCTAAGACTTTTCCACAGTAATGCACATCTAAAACAACTTGATCGACACACTACTGGCAATAAAGAAACAATATAACAAAAAATATGTTCTGGCACTTCAAAGGGACAGGGAGGAGGGAGGATTAGGTCAGGGTCAGGGTTGAGGCAAGAGCATATCAAAGTGTTTGTGTGCGCAAGTGAGTGAGAGAGAGAGCGAGAGAGAAAGTGTGAGTGACATAGAGGAGAAGTGAGAGAAAGAGGAAACTGAGAGCATGAGAAATGAAGAGAAGAAGAAAAATAGAAAAAGACAAAGTGAAAGGAACAGAGAAAAAACAGCAATAAAGTGAGGTGATGGAGATGAGGTAGAGAGATTTGTAGAGGAAAAGAAAAAGAGAGACAGGAAGAGAGAGAATGAGAGAGCTATGAGAAGTGAGAGATGGGGGGAGGGAGGTGGAGAGAGAGAGAGAGAGAGAGAGAGAGAGAGAGAGAAACAGAAGAAGTAAGAGAGACAGAGACAGGCAGAGAGATAAGACAAAAGTGAGAGAGAAGCAGAAAGAATGATAGAGAAAGGTAGAGAGAACATATTACCTGATTACAGGTATCAGCCAGGGAGTGGATGGCCTCTGAGAACATGCTGGCTGATCCTGTATAAACCCAGGCCAGGAGTTTGAAGAAGAAATTCAGTCCATTTCTGAGGATCAGTAACAGAATGAATTAATCTCAGACATAGTCACACGTATTCCTCTAAACCTCTGAACACTGCATTGTAGCGAAACAGCAACCGTGATATGATACAATTAGCATAGCATTGTAGAAATCCTACTTTCAATTTCAGACTGTTAACCTTACATACATTTTACAGCATAGCATGGAATTCATTATCTATAACTTTGTAGACACAAATTAGGTTACAAATGGACAAAGCCTGGTTGTCTGGTGCCATCTGAAGAGAGGCATTTCACAAAGGCCTGGTGGGTCTCTCATGTGAGTGCACATGTTTTATAACTCAATCTCTCTTTAATCTAATAGAGCGACTGCACACAGCCACTCAGTCTCATTATACTGTCTCATCATCCTTCCTGCAGAACTAACACTGTCCTTAGTGAGGAATGTGTCCCAGTTTACTGAACTCAACATCTTACAACTGTACAGTTAGGTGTCTTGCTGTACAGTGTTTCAATGTACAAAGAACTCAGGCAAGACAGGAAACTCACATGCAAATAGCTACCATCACCACTTTTCCTGGGCCCTGGAGGAAAGTTGCCCTCTTTCCTGACCGAGGCTGTAGAAAGGTGTGAAATTCCAACATTTAGATGATTTCAGAAGGTGATCAGTTCATGTAGTGTGAATTATGCAAGTCATACATATATGTATAATAATACGATTTAATAGAGAAGGTAGACAAATGCTAATTAAAAAAAAAGTCCTTTCTCTTTTCCTAACAGGAGTTAAATAACAGAAATACTTCAGGCACTACAAAGTACATAGCTGCCCTACATAAATTACTTACTGCTCAACAAGTTCTCAGTGCTGTTGCAATTTCCTTCACATCATTTTTTAAATGTTTCCATGATCGTTGCATGAGGACAAAGCTTTTGTGTTTAAACAGCACAAACACATGTATTCTCACCTTTGTGTTTCCCCAGAAATCTTTGTATTCCTTCAGCAGTTTCTGATTTCTAAATATATCTAAGAAAGAGGAGATGGAAAAGAAAGAAAGAGAAAACGATAGTGGTTATTGGAACAAACATCCATTAGTCAGATGTATTTTCACAACATGCCCTATTGTGAGTAAGAACACCCTGTAAATTGTCTAGAGAAATAGAACAGATTGTTACCACTTTTTCCAAAATGGTGAGACTGGAATCATAAATTCTACACAGACTGACGGCAGCAATACTGCAAGACAAATGTCATAGTTGCTGAAAATACAGGGACAAGCAGGCATTTCACCCACCAAAGTACTGGGGTAATGCCACATCACTTTTTGATTAAGCTCAGACCACTTATTGAAAAAAAGGACACTACACTCTCCCTAACTTACTTATAACTAACCTGTAGAAACAAATGGACAGTAAATGGCAGAACCAACTAAAATCTCCATTTGAGCTGAATGATGGGATATTTCCCAAAAAGTGAAACCTAGAAGTATAAGGAGAGAAATTCTCCAGCTCACTAACCAGGTAAATACTTTAATGCAATCCACAAAATTATATTTACACACTCAAACACAGTTTGTGTTACTACACTGACATTTACTGAATGTCAGTTGCAATATGTCTTTCTGCCAGCTTGCTAGGATAGAAATGAATATTCTTCAGAGATGCTACCAGCAGTTAACAGATCTGAGCAGAGCCCAGTAAAGCACGCAGGGCCAAAACAACACTGACACTGTTCATGAAAATGCTGACTGGGATATGCTATTACATTTTAGTTATGACCTATATGTAGTGCTGAAAGTTTTAAATTAGTGAATCAGTGCCCCAGTTGTCTTTTTGTCAGCCACTGTTCCACTAGCATATTTTTTCATTAGTATTTTTTTTCAGAACCCATCATTTTTGCCCCTCCACCACTACTGGGGGTGTGGTGCCACCCTTTAATCACATGTAATTCCTACAGAAGTTGTAAGGTCAACATACTTTCTTGGTATTGTCTCTCCACCTCACTCCTGAGTTTCCTCTCTCGAGCAAGTGCCTCCATACTGCCCCAAACATCCAGAGCCCTAGAAAACATGAAAAAAAGAGTAACCAACAAATCTCTCAAAAAACCTCAACATAAAGCGATAATCAGATAAATACGAATGCTATTGTTTAGCTGGGACTACAGTACATACTTGGCCTCCACGTCTGAGCGCAGAAAGACTGTGAATGCCTCTGTGTCATCATGAGGGCTGCGTCGACGGATCTTCCTCAACTGCTCCAGGTCACTGAAGACACAAATACCCCAATACATACAGACACATCAGGAAAAAACATATGTAACGACTAAAAACAATGATGATTAATCCTGAGAGGATAAACAGCTCTGAGGAACCACAAAACTCAGCCTTTTTTACCCCATCTCAGTTGTGTTTGTGAGTGAACCTGGGTAAATAAACTGAACTGCACTTCACCTGGGTTTGAGACAGAACTCGTTCATTGCCCTGACAGCAGTGATGAAATTGTTCTGTGTGTATCTGGTGCCATATTCCCTCTTCTTCAGTACTGCCCTCACTGAAAACCCCAGAAAAACACAGGGTCACACCACAGGCCATAAGTTACAGTCACTCGCCAATCAGTTTGTGATGGCAAACTGCATTACCTTTCACTTGAATGTTTTCTGCTTTCATTAAACCTTGAGCTTTGGGTTCTTAAAAAAGGAAGGGACAGCATTAATTAATAATTAATAACCAATTATATTGTTATCATCACATATGATCAAACATAACAAGAGGACTCACTTACAGAAGGATCGCCAGCCGCTATACAGGAAATAAAGGAAAAAGCAACCATTAGACAAGCCGAGATGTAAAATGTACTCAAAGAAAAGCAAGACTGACGCAATTACCGGCCGGCTCTGTGGAGTGCTGATCAGTGGATGCTTTATCAGTGGGTTTCGGCCCATCAGGGTCCTGTGGTGGTCCATCTTTACTGCTGCCGGCAGTAGAATAGTACTGAACCTGTGCCCAAGCCAAAGAGGACCCTCTGTGGTCAGGGAAACTTAACCAAAGGCTGTGGCCCTTACCTCCGCTTTGCCAACCTGTACACAGAGAGCCAAAAGATTCACACTTAAATTAGAATACAGAAAGCAGCAAAACACATCTTTCAATAATAGAGCCTCCTTTACTCTGCAAATGCACTGAAAGATCAAGAGTTAAACGTTAAGTACACAGTTAGTCTCAATAGTGAGTATAGACCTTCAGATGAGAGCGATGCAGCCTAGAAGCTAGATCGACAAGTGTGTCACACCAATAATTTCAAGTCTGCTGAAAGTGACTTACCATGGCATGGGCGTGTTATTCTAGGAGGTAGCTGAGACAGATGTGCTCGCTGCTGCAAGTAGACCCTGCAGAAAACTTGCCATGGTCTATGGGCCAGGCAGGGGAACATCCTGGCAGTGGCAAGACTGAGAGAGTGACAATGGAACCTGCAGTGATTCACAAAGCAGGATGGAGTGAGTCAATTACTGTTTATATTTTAAAAGGTCACATAATGTACCAGACACTGTTACAGCTACATACATGCTATGAAAAACACTGTGGAAAGTGGTTGTAGGCCAGTGCAATAATACACTGAATGCATAATGCAGATGCAAAAATTGACTCTGCTCAATCATGTGCATAAGTCTATAAAATTTATTTTAAAAATCATGAAAGGATATATCTCAGCTACATTGGAGTGTACATCTACACGTTTAATAATATAGAAACTAATAAGACACCTCTGATTAATACTAAGCTATGAAATGGAAGCTAAATGGCTCTTAAATAGTAATGTACACTGTAAGACAACATAGTACCTTACAGTCCCTTTGAAGAAGCATTTAATGCCGAGCTGCCTAACCTTGTCCAAATGACATTACAACTACAACAGGGTGCAATAGATACGACAGTCAGTAAGACTTTCAGAATAACAAAATAACTGACTAATCGGGTAGATTAATTAGCTTTGTAACTAACTAGCTAAGCTGCCAAAGTAAGCCACAACCCTTACAGCGAGGAATCAGTTTCTAAAACCCGTCGATCCTCATTTAATTAAAGCTGAACTGGGAGGTGAAAACAGTGATTCGCGCTCTATTATAGCCAAGTTATGTTAACTTACTAAGTGAGATGCTGAGGAAGCTACAGACTGTTTATGTCAATAGGGCTTGTCAGTAAGTAAGTCCAGGGTGGCAGCTAGCTAACAGAGGCTAGCAAACCCTAGCTAAGAACAAGTGTCCACTGACCTAAACATCCGCTTTTCAACTAACTAGCGAGCCCTAAGCGACCCAAGAAGCAAACTGGCGAGTTGTTGTAGTGACATCAAAATAAAATAAACGGGTCATGTTGTCTCCAGTCCATCGGTGACTCGCTAAATTTGTGTTATCAGAGCTTCGGCCGGCATCTGACTCTTCCTCTAACGATAGCTAACTTAGCTAGCTAGTCGGCTAACAGCTGAAAAACAAACCAAACACGTAGTTACACGTGAAAGACATCGCAGACAGCTACATAGCATCGGGTGAAATTCATAGTATTTACCTTTATGCAGCAATTTGTCCTCCACATATCTCACTCCATCTCCTGTATCTATCTGACAGTCCGCTTGCTCACATTTCGTCCATAGCCAAACTCCATGAAAACATCCAGGGTAAGTGAGCCAGTTCTCGCGAGATCAGTGGATAATTAAGTCATCAGGGAACACATTGGGTTCATTCAAGCCATGTAACTGTAATAAACCAGCTCCGCTTTAGTTTTGCGTATTAGCATTTTAACCCATTCATGTCCAACAGTTCAATTTTGTACGATGAGGAAAAATGTCATTGAATTTGTCCTGATTGGTCTAAAGTGATAGAATTGTGTAATATGTGTGTATGAACATTTAACAGTCTCCATTAGATTTTTAAATTAGATGTCATTTTCATACTTGAATTAGGAGTCCCAGGTGTATCCGACAAATTAAGTGATAAAAACTTTTAGCCACATAGTTTGACTGAAAAAAAAAGCCAAAGAAACTTCACATTTGTGCTCCAGAAAGCTAAAATATGAACCAAAGTAAATCAAAATATCAGATAATTCTGTTAATAACTGCCCCAAAGCATCAATGCAGATAAAGCTATTTGATTGAACACAACTTAAGAATTTTTTTTAATGTACAGCTAAATCAAGAGGTTTGTTTTGCAAAACTTGTTAGCAACTCCTTCAAATACATTTAAATAAACGTCACCGAGATCAATGAGAGCTCCATTTACTGTTTACCTGGGTATTCAGGAGCACTGTCCCTCCCAGAAACCTACAGAAATCTCAGCGTGCATTTGCAGCTAATTTCTCCAGAAAATAACTTCACAGCTCTGTTTTGAGGACAAGGTTGGTGTGGGTGTGTCTGTATATTCTTCAGCAAAAAGCAATCTGAATGCTTAAGGCCTATTCAAAAGAATGCATTTTGTTTCAATGCTTTTATTGTCCAACTCTTTACAACAGTAGGGCACAAAGGAACTTGGCGCCATCGTGTGGTAGTAACTGATAGTGCATGCAATAATTTGATGGAAGCACAGGGAGATAATGTGACCAAAGAAGTTTTTATAATTGCAAAAGAAAATGCTGAATACCATAATGGAAAATGACTTATCTACAGAGTGTCTTTACTGTAACAATACAAGCAGAAAAATATATGAAAAAACACTGTAGAGTACCTAATAACATAATGACCACTAGAAAAACAAAGCCATTAGGTTTGAGCTAACGCAAATGTATATTAAGGGTAACTGGCAGATTTTCAGCATCAATCCCAATCAGATAGATTTTCAAGTTCCTGAAGCCATTCCATCTCAACCTAAACAAGACAGGAGGAAGACAGGAGGAAGAATGCACCAGATCAGTGGATACCAAAGTGCAAGTGATAACATCTAAGTAAAAATAGTATCATAATTAATCAGGGCTGTCATCATTACTCAATTAAACTCTCTTGTAAAAATAAATAATTAATTAAAATATACCTTCTCAATGAATCAGCAATCATTAGTTGGCAATGTGAATATTTAATGAATAATATCACATGTATTTAAATGATCCTTTTAGTCTCTATTACGATAAGAACAGAAAAAGAATAAGAAAAATAAGAGTAAGAAAAACAGAGCCTAATGGACACATCCTTTTAGGCTACATGCATTTTTGGACACATAATGTTTTTACTCATTACAAATATAATCAATAGTGACGGTCCTACTAATACTCCTAGCAGTATTTTGGGTAATGTAGCATTATAACTAGAGTGCATAACTAAATCGGCAAAGATTGGAATGGACAGATTTGTGCTCCATACATGCAATTTGAAATCAACTGATTTATTACATTTTTTTGGCTGATCTGTTATGCAATTTCATAATGTAAATAGTATCAGCCATGTAAGGGTACTCAAATTGAATTGTGTGCATATTAAAATGTATATCATCTTACTGATGTTGCAAGTTTGGCTTAACTGAAAGTACTGGAAATGTGCTAGTATGTTTCATGAGTTCCTTTAGCCCATACAGCATGAGCTTCAGGTTAAAAAAAGGCTAAAATATTGTCCATCAGCCACTTGGCTGTAAAATAAATCGGAATTGGCCATAAAAAATAATGATCGGTGCCTCCCTGTAACCATAACTGGCTCCTCACCTGTTGGTTTTTCAGGTCAATGTTATTTTGGGAGGTGGGTGACATCCTTGATGTGACCATTTCAGAGGACAGAAGGGTCATCTGGGGGTCCACACCTTCCCAACTGCTCTCAGAAAAACCACAATCCCCATCAATAGTCTCTGAACACCACCTCTTAGAGCTTGAAACTGGAGACTCCATCGTTTCTTTGTGAGCTCTTTTGCCAGCTCTTTTTGCTGGATGGTCACAAGCAGACAAAGAGCATGATAATCCAATAAATCAGCAACAAGCAGAGGAGAGAAACTGCTGCAGAACTGTTATCCTTATTTTAATCAACTCTCCTGGAGGCTAAATGCTAGCATTGTTATCTTATGGACTGACTGTACATTACAGGTAGGGGGATCTTCGTCACTCAGGGTGCTGGAAAAGACTCAAGTAATAGCACTTTATTTTTCCTGTTTGATGTGCTTTTTGATTGTATTTAGTTCAAGCACACTGAATTGCACTTTGTGTGTGAAATGTGCTATATAAATAAACTTGCCTTGCCTTGCCTTATAGCAGGCCACCAACAAACATATAACTGCTTTTGTAACAAAACCTTCTATCTCTAAAACGGTAACTTTATAGGAGAGGAAAAAACATTCTTAACTTGATTGTATATTTATGTAATAAGATGTTATTACAAGACATTCTGGACCATTTCTACTTGCATTCTTTACGCAATTTAAAGGGCAGCTGAAGTTTTCAATGGTGCAAAAAAAAAAAAACTAAATGAAACAAAACAGAGGTTTTGATATGACAGCAATGATATATATTTAAAATTCGAGAAAAATGAATCTTACTCTGTTCCAGTCTCTCACTGCCATTCTGCTCAGACACAACTGCCTCCACTACCTAAAAACAAGTACTGAAATTCATATTCTGACTAAACCATGTTGACAGATATAATCAGCTTCCTGGATTCCTGCAGTTTTTAACACATTCAATTTAAAAATCCACAGGAGCAAAGCAGGATGGTCAAACCATAGATGTCAAACCTTTTTAGGAGTACAACTGGTGCTGGACACAAAGCGGCCACCTATGACTCTCTGAAGAGTCTGATGCAGTGATTTGGTCAGATCACTGGTGTTCTGTACCTAAACCACAAACACAGACACATCACACATTCACACAAATGTAACATTTAACTGAAAAATATTTGTCAGAACATTCAATCTTTACTGAAGTATACTAAATTAAAATGCATATTAAAAACAGTCCCATGTGACCATAGCAGTGACCATGCACAGTCCATTAAGTTTGTTTTGAATGGCTGTGAAATACCTTCATGCTATTCAGACAGGCAGAGCGAAACTCTGCACTGCTACTGCTGCTCACAATACTGTTCACTGAACTCACAATCACGGACATGGCAGACTGCAGCTTTTCTCTGGACTACAAAAACAACATACAAATAATCACATATACACAAAAACATAAAGGAGAATGAAGAGCAGCTACAGTGATACCACAAACACTGTAATTGTGCATGTGTAGCTGAGTGTAAAAAATGATGTTAACATAAAGCAGCCTGCCTTTTTCCTGCTCAGGAATCCCCTGAGGGTGTTTTCCAGTAGAGACTGCAGAGCTGATCTCACTTTCTCCGCATTGTGCCACAGCACACTGTCCAACTGTCTGTCTAAAATCTCTTCACTCGCTTCACACATTTCAGAAAGCAAATTAGACAGTTATTATTTCACTGAAAAGATATTAAGTGTAGTCTTGCTAGGCTTGATTGATTATTGTTAATATCCTCTAGAAATCCTGTACTCTAGGCCATCAGTCTGTATTTGGCTCTAAAGTTAAAGGGGTATTCCACCAATGTATCAAAAACGTCTGCATAATTAAATAATTAAGATGTAAACAAAGTCATATTTTCCACTAACTGGGAAGTATCCAATATCGTAATAACGGTGTGTGCTATTTTTCATTTATGTATTCTAAAGTAATCAGACATATAAGTACCCAATTCTGTGCATGATGACCCCTGTCCTTTCATAGTTGTATTTCAGCTTCTAACACACCTGATCTAAGTAACTGAAGGCAGCAGAACCTTTACCTATCCCCAGGTGTCTTGGAACATGATTTTTTTTTAAATTTTTACCCAATTTTCTCCACAATTTAGTCGTCTCCAATTCCACCCGCTAGTTAGGACTCCCCCCAATAACACGATACTATCAACGCTGGGAGGGTGAAGGCTAGGACAGGCTTTCTCCGAGACCTGTGAAGCGCCACCGCATCTTTTCGAACTGCCGCTAACGCAACGTCATTGGACAGCTGAACGCGCTCGGAGGAAAGCGCCAACCGCCAGATCTGTTACGTCAGCTAACAGACGCCTGCGCTGACTAGCATCGCGCTGAGTGATGGGGGGAGAAGGAGGGGCCATCCTACCCACCCAGAGAGAGCGAGGCCAATTGTGCTCTCTTGGACTCCAGGCTACGGATGGCTGTAGTATCACCAGGGATCGAACTCGTGATCTCCTGATAACAGGGCCAACACTTAGACGGTTGCGCCACTCGGGAGCCTTGAAACATGATTTCAAGCAAAAATTCACACAGACAGGGCTTCCTCCCTCCCGCAGCACCAATTGTTCATAACTGGAAATAGAATAAGATGACTTGTACTGATGAACTCGAAGAGTTGACAGTGAAAGGGGTCTCTGTACTCCATTAGTAGAAAAAGAGTGATGGTCTGCTCCACAGTACGGACATCTGACTCCATGTTCTCACTCACAACTCGGCTACATACAGGATGTGTTTCTGAACTGCGCTCATCTTCTGTAGAAAACTCCACCTCATAGAACAGGGAGCCTGGACAGAGAATAACGTGGTTAAGTTAACCATAAGTTATTTCTCATTTATTACAACCTAAGGCTTATTATTCAGTAATTACATGCAAAACAAAACATGTTCTTAATCTCTTTTACATTAAGACAGCATAAAGTGTTTTAGAGCAACAGACCCTTAATTCACAGCTAGCATTCATGTCATCTGTACACAGTACATGTCAGAGATGGCACAATTCAGGCTGCGTTTGTTGCAGAATCAGATCAAATTTTGTTCTTGATTTCCTTTGAAAGCTAATCCAGCAGACTGGTGCCATTTTCATTACCTATCTATTATCAGACAAATGTAGGGTCACTTTCCTATTCTTTACCCTGTGCAGCATGTGTATCAGCACAGCGGACTCCAGCCAGACCCAGTTTTCCCCAGAATAGTGAGTCAGCCAGGCTCTGGAGGAAGCTCAGCTGTGTCTGTCCCTCTCCTCGTATTATTGGAATGCCACTGGGGCTATACACTAACACGTGCCACAGATGTTGAGGAAAAAAATGCTCATAAATCAGTACAAGCAAGGCCATTAGTTCATTCAGCAGATGTACACACACTTATTTAAGTGATTAGCTGATGTCACAATTCCTGTAGCCAGATAATCTACTGGAGAGGAGATGCTTTGGTATCCTCCACGTATTTCTACTAAGAACTGCACGCCAACAATTCAATCACATCAAGTTAACAAGACTGCCTTTAAATTTATGGTTTAGTCAAAAATCAAATTTACACAACTTTCCCCTCTTCCCAAATGTATTTCATCAACCAAGAAACATCTGCTACTTTGCACTGGAGCTAGGAGGCAAATGTAGCTAACAAGTTTTTGAACAATGCCAAAATAATAAAACACGCCTGCCACAAAATACTTCGTATTGTTAAATAATGTCAAACAGACTTGCTTATGTGGTTTCTGACCCTGTATGACATACTCTTACCTAATAATGTACACTGCATAGCTAAAAAAACAGTAGCAGCAGTTTGAAGTTTGTCTATACAGTGTCAGAAACCACACAAACGTGGTTTGAGACAAGTGTGTGATAATTTAGGCATGCAGTTTGTACAATGCTAATTGGCTCCAGAGCAAAACTAAAGCAGTAGAACTTCGGACACCAATCATGTCTTGGCTGATTGCCTACACTTGGGGTAGCATGAAAATTGTGTATATTTGATTTGGCTGAACCATCACTTTAAGTGTTCTTGTCAGTTAGTAAAATATAAAGACCAAATATTATGACTGAGATCTAAACTCTGTACCACTAAGCACTGTTGCCTTAAATGTAAAATGAAAATCAACAGTGAGTCTCCTCTTTACATTATAAAGGATATGCGTATGTGTGAGAGACGTGATGGCCAGTTGGGGTACTGGTTCATGCAGGGTCCAAGAGTTGCTAGGCTAGTGACATTCATCTCCCCACACAGCCCAGCCTCCACAGCTTCAGAGGGAAGCAACAGAGTGAGTCTCTCCCCCAAAACTAGATGCATCTGGCAACAGGAAGGGAAACACCCTACATAGAACGGACTCCTGAGAAAAACATCACACACAAAGAAAGCATTGATTTTTGCCTCATACTGAAAACGATGAAGCTTAAAAAGTCAATATATAGATTCAACTCTAATGGAGTCTGTCATGGTTTCACACCCATCCAGACTGACCTTTGTCCTTGAGATCAGTTTTGATGTCAGTAAAAGACATTTATGTTATACAGTCGTATCCAAAAGTTGGAACACACCTAGTCAAATGACATGTTTTGTTGATTTGAGTGAAATCAAGTAAAAGTGAAAATAAGTTAGCAGATCCTCTACAGGAAACGACCCTAAATGTGGAAGATTTTCTGCAAATTGATGTGCAAATTTCTACTTACTTGCCGAGTTTAACATACTGGAAAAAATAAAACATAAAATATAAAATGTGGCATAACTTTTGCACAGGCCACATTTTATATTTTATTTCCCCCCCAATATGTCAAATTCAGCAAATAAACAGCAACTGTGCATTCAAATGTGCAGAAGTGTGTTCTCTGTGGAGAATGTGTACTTATTTTCACTTCAACAAAATCAACAAAATGTGTAATTTGATCAGGGACGTCCAAAATTTCAGCACACGACTTTATCAAGGCTTATATAAACCAGTGGATTGCAGACTATGCTACGTGTTTACTGTTACTGTAGAAAAGGAAGGACAAACCGGACATATGACGTAGTGTCTCTGGCAATAAAATGATCCATCACTGATTTTGGACGTCTACTCTTGAAACTACAAATGAAAACAGGAACATTTCAAAAAGTGTAACAACACAGGCTCTTATGACGACACGTATCAGAGCAGCAGTGAAAAGGTAAGTGTGATTAACTGATCTTTTAATTTTACCTGAATGTTTGCTGGTGTGTGTATTCTTTATTCTTCACTTTGAAAATAATTGTGATCTGCTTAAGATAAACAAAACCAGCTAGGCACAAAGATAATGATATTAATAATAAAAATAGCATGACTGAAAGTGACAGATTCCTTTATGTTCAATGTAAATTACACATTTTGAACTTGAGGCTGGGGTTAGCTTTAGAGTTTGGTGTCTTTGGTCTGACCTGTGAGTTAACCAGGCTGACTCTCTGAAGAAATCTCTCAGTTTCAGTCTCCACATCTTGGCTATCCTGGTCTACCTATCAGTGATGGAATCAAAAGCACAAGAGATCACAGTTCAGAGCACTTGCGGGTGCAAAATTCACATTGCATCAGTGACAAATATACAAACCTGGAACGAGCAGATGAAATATAAAGACCCAAAGTTGTCTGAGAACTTGCAGAGCTCTTCTTCATAAGGACAGTCACAGAGAGAGATAAAAGAGGAAAGGGTCTCTACAATCTCTGAAAAAGAACCGAAAACAAGGAACAGCTATCTGATAATCTGAACACTGAGCCATCTGATCTCAGCCAACTCCAAGAAGCAAAGAATAAAAACCTGTCATTCTGCCTTTTCTGGAAACTCTGACAAACCACCGACCAGCAGCTGCAACTGTGAACAAGAAAATGTGTTAATTCTACATACAATGAACAAAACGAAAGAAACAATAAAGTAAGGTACATTTACTCAGGATCTGCAGAAATAAATATACTATCTACTACAGTATATAACCATACTTTGCAGCATGGAGGGCGACAAACCCCTATTAATACTCTTAAAACGCTGTATGAACAGGTGTCTACAAAGTTTTGGACATATAAAGTAAGTCTAAGTTAATATTTTTGTACCAGTGTACGTCAGCCGTCTGTGAGTCAGCAAACCGGACTGAGTGGACAGAAGAACCAGTAAACCTCCTCGACTCTGAGCCTTATTCTGTTTATACACACTATGGCGGCAGAGAAACATCACCAGCCTAATAACCTGAAAGAAATTTAACAACTGTTACCACTAATATTACTAAGCGCGTTTAGATATTGAACAAGTACTCAGTTGTTGATGTTGACAGCGAGTCGAGCCGAGCCGTGCCATGAAGTGGAAAAGTGGCTATAGTTAAGCTAGTTGTATTAGCTCACTAGCAATCGTACTGTTAGCTGACGTAACCTAGCCTAGCTAAGCTACATTATTCGTGCTGACCACACAAGCATTATTAGAGTTCAACGTGTTGTAGTGGTTGACTATTTTGTCTTTAGAATAACACAGACGAGTAATTTAGCTTATTATTATCCAATTTGGTTTATTTTCTCTTGCTACTTAGTCACCTGTTGTAGCTCAGATAACATTTTCTCTGACGCTCTGGCGCCGCAGTCTCCCAGAGAGTTCCCGTCAGAGCCGTGAAGGCCACACTTTTAAAGGGCACATATAAACCTTTTTTCTGCGTTTTATTTTTCCCGAGATCCATTTATGACGTGTTTCTTTTAATTATGGCGTTTTTTTATTTACCAAAAACATATTTCATTTTACATGACCATTTCCAACTTTTCTTTATCTCTTAGAATTAAACAGTTTGTGTTACTGTGCCTTTAAAGGGGAATTCCACCAATTAAGAAAATCTACATAGTTCAGTATTTGAGCTGTAAACAAAGTCATTGAGTGCTTCGATGTAAAATGATGCATTGTAGAAATACTTAAAAACAGTTTATTTTACAGTGGTGGTTAGGAACCAGGGGTTGTGATGTCTACAATGTCTACAGTGATGCTGAGAGCGATAAAGATCATTTTAAAACAAGCTTTCTTTGGATACTATTTTGCCTTACAATACCCTCCACTCCACCATGAATGTATTTTGAAAAGTGTATGTCAGGCCAAAACCTGATCTCAAAACTCCTACTAGTGTGCACCTATTTTACTAACGTAAAATGATGTCTCAGACCTCATGCAGTGTATTTGTTACAACAAGCTTTTAGAGCTATTAAAGGTTTCGGATGTCTGGTTGCTATCACCACTATTGTGAATTATTCTGACTTGGTAAGTTTCTGTAGAACGGTCCATTTCACTATAAACCACTCTTTACGGCTTTGTTTACGTCATAACAACTTAGTTATGCAGAACTTTTAAAAACTGGTGGAACTCTCCTTTAAGACTCCTTTCTGATTGACTGTCCTGTGTTGTGCCTCATTCATATTTCTTAAACACTTCAAATGTGAGTGGGCGGGGCTAAACTGCTGCAGGTTGAACTGGCGGATAGATGTAAATATGATGGTGTTTATGACCTCACAAAAACAATGAATTTAAAACAGGCTGTTTTTGCAGCTTAGTTTCCATATGTGGACTGTAATTTTTACAAATTTTCCATAAAACTATATATTTTCTTTTGTAAGTGCCTTTTCAAATGTACCGAATTCACCTATCTCAAAATCTGCCACAAGTGTTTCTTTCAGACCCAAAAACTATTCCCACACTGTATGGAAAGCATATTAGCCTAACAACCAGGACAATTTATTATTTCTAATCAAACTCAAGTTTTGCCAAAAAAAAAAAAGAAAATCTCAGTCATTTGTATAAGCAAATTTTATTTAACCTGCTTTTGCAGCCATCACTTCTCCATTCATGGCATAGATTCAGAACATCTGATTCTGTCCAGTAATCACTGAAAATAATCATTTGAAGGACATTTCCTGTGAGCCTTTATAACAGACAATACAATTTCACACAAGTCAATAAGGTGCAAGTAAACAAAGAACTGAGGACAATATACATTAAGTAGCCTACTTCAGAAATGCTCCAGCGTACGCTGGATGTTCAATTCTAATAGTTATACTCATCAGATTCACAGTGCGTTTCCTCAGTTTATGTGGTCCCTATTTTAAGGCATCATTATGCCTGGGTGTTGACTCGCATTAGAATCAACATCATTCCATCTCAGCATACCCTTATACTGCAACAATGTTCAAAAGAAAAAACAAGTTCTTTTTCATATTTCAATTCAATGCATAAATAGGAAAATCCTATTTAAGCTCACCAAGAACACATTCAGCTGCTTTTCACAGGACCATTTAAGGCTACTTAGAGCTAGATATACAATAAGCAAGATTTTGAGCATTTAGAAATGTTTATATTACTATGATAAACTGTAAATACAGATTAAACAAAGTCCTCCAGTAATTTCTGTGGGTCTGTATCAGACGTATGATCCACACAACTCTTTCAAAATCTAGCTCTGTTGCCCACTGTAGGTGACTTCAAACATGTACTGTAGATTTCAATTTAGCTACAGTAAAGAGCTGCATGGATTATAAATAGAAAGAGCTTTCAGGGGACTTTGTTTAAAGACTGATCATAGCAAAACAACCACTTTCAAGCTAAAAATCTCAAAACGTGTATACAGTATATCATTAATAAACATTCCCTGGTTTGATGCCCTTATTTTACATAATATAAGGTGCATTTCGTCAAGTGTTCCCGAGTGGCTTGTGAGTGAAGAGTGAACAAAGCCAGGCTCATCTCACTGGAGCTTTACAGGATGGCCGCAAGTGATTTGATACATTATTTTTATATACAATGTCCAGCATCTTTGCAAATATACTCCTGATCTAGTTGATTTAGTCTAAAACCAAGCAACAAAAGACAACTAAAAATGTACACAGGAAAGTTACTCACTGTACAATGAATCTGAATCGGTAGTTATTGCTATACATGAGTTTATATTGTCTTAATATACCAAGCAGAAAATCCATTTTCTTTGTTTTTCCAGTTAAAGCTTAAAAATGTCCTTCACACAAGTTGGCATATTTTTCAATACTGCATGCAATCCACTCCTAAAATGACATGTTCTTAATGTAAGCCATTCATGCTCATAGCGTTCATCCCTAGTATCCTCTTAAGCCTTAGCAATAAATAAGATGTGAAGTAATCAAAAATATGGCACACGAATGTTGGAACAGTACCAAAAGAAAGTTAAATACTTTCACAAATTTGGTTAAATACATAACACTTCCGGTTTCAAGTATATCAGGCAGACATGGTGTTGGATGTGGTGTTAGCAGTCTCCATGGTCGTTCCTGAAGAAGTGTAATGCCTGGATGTTGGGGGTTGTTCCAGTCTTTCATTTTCACAATACTCTGCACAGAGGAGTAATGCCCATTGCCTTCATGAGCTTCACAAAGTCTCATCTCTTTCCACAGAGTTCAGTTTGATACCTGCAGAGTAATAATAAAAGAAGGAAAGATCATATTGAAATTATGCCTAATTTACTATGGATTAGATACGTGTCATATAACTGAATGTCATAAAAAGAGTCTGAAGAATATCAGACTGTTTGGGATCACATTTGTACTTGTGAGGTACCGCCTCACTGTTGCATTCTCCAGTGGATTACCTAACATGTCCAGCAGGGGACATCAGACTGGACTTCCCATTCTGTAACAGCCCTGATGACACTTGAAGGCCTTTTCTTTGTGACACCTCCTGGTTAAAAACAATACAGTAATATGTTACCACTTAAACTGCATATATCCTACATTTATGTTGTGTTCTATTGTTTTCAATGACATCCACTAATGATGTGGGGTTTTATGAACCAAAATCAATTTGTGATTTTTGCATGAACATTTTCCAAACATGAACATCTTTATCCCATAGAATTAAAGAGGCTGTATTTGTTACTTTGCCTATAAGACCGATATAAGTAAATGATCTCTGTTCTGATTGGCTGTCCCAAATTGTGTCTTGTTCACAAAGTAGTGCAGGCTGAAACAATCCTTATAATTAAAAAGTGAGTGAGCAGGTTTAAACTGCTGTAGGCGGATATATATATATACGTTCAGCTAATTCAAATGGGCTGTTTTGCAACTTATTTTCCATATATAATAGTATGTTTTGAAACACATTAAACTCTTTTATTTTAAAAAAGCTGGATTTTAAATTTTACATTTCGGTTTTCCACGATATGGTCACTTTAAACAAAACTGCAATTAGCAATTTTAGGAGATGAGTGATATCAGAGATCAGAGATCTTCTCCTGTTTCTCTTTTTTAGGATTTGACAGGTGAAGGTAGTTTGGGGTCATTATATCGGGTCAATCTACCACAGCTGAAAGACACTCACCTCTTTGATCTGAGAGGGTTTGGTAACAGGGCATGGTGGTGGAGGTCTGCTGGGGGGGCTTGGTCTGGGTTTGGGTGTGACTGATGGAGATGGGTGTGGACTGGAGGGGATCTTGGGGTGTGAACCCTGCTGTTGTAATGCGTATGCTGGGAGGGGTGGAGGCTTCACTGTAGGCCGAATAATGGAGTGTCTCGATCTTGATGGACCAGCAGGACTAGCCCTTTGACTAGCCTGGCAATGAGAACACATGGACACACTGCTTTCAAAACCCAATTCAAGAACATTGCTTTTTTAAAAAACAATCGATTAGATAAACATACTGCAAACCATCTTTCCATACCACTGATACTGCAAGCGACCTCTTACCGGATTATCTGTGTCAGGTTTCTTTAGCTGGAATGTTGGGTTTGCGTGGCCATTAGCAGGAGCTTTGGAGTCTGGCGAATCTGAGACACTGTGGAACAAATCAAAGTGAATAAATTCAGCTCATGTTCTCTGCAATCAGCACTTCAGACAGAAACATTATGAGAAGAACAGAACATCTAAGAGATGAGTTCATGAATATCATCAAAGCTGTGAATCTCGATAATTACTTAATGCATATCCGGGGAGGACTGTGGGCAATGTCTTTAAGAGAATGACACTTATGCTTGGAGTACCACCGGAGGAACAGAACAGCCAATCCCAGAAAGAGAAGTAAAGTCAGGATCACCAGTAGAGGAAGTAAGTTACCTGCAACATCAATATGAAATACGACAGTTAGTTCATAAATACAATATAGTGTATTTCATAAACCAAAATACTGCTGAGACAAATGCTGTAATACAGATCATACTGTGACAGCATGCATGTCTTGGGTCTTGGTACGTTTCACTTACTATGTGCGATTACAGGGCCACTGTCCACACTGCCACCAGTTCCTGCTTTCTCACAATATGGTGGCGCCCAGCCTGCATCACAGTGGCAGTTATGATTGTTGTTGCACAGCTACAAGAGAAGAGACCATGCGGACTCAATCAACAGTGCCGGCAGTGTCTTTTGTCATTTCTTTTCTGTTTAACTGTATAGTCTACATAGATATTGCTTAAGGGTATTTATAAATATAATAATACATTGGTTTAGTTTTACCATGACCTGCTTAAACATAATAGAACACTTTAGTAGCCATCCTCAAAGAAATAGCTTGACCAAACATGCTAATGAAGTGAAGCCAAAAACCACTGTAGTTGGTATCATGCCCATATTAGGAACTCGGGGTCTTAGCTAATTTAAAAATGGACAGTGTTTTTTGATATCCTCCAAATATCACTGCATCCTGAATTATGAATATTGCTACATGCAAGCTATGCAAGCTAGACACATGTCTTCTGCATTTTTGTATTTAATGTTGATAATGGTAAAATAAGTTTTCCTTTGGAACTATTTTGCTTTAAAACAGACATCAGGCAGCTTATTCATAACCATTACATGTAATAACTTTCTGTAAGGGAGCTTTTAGAGGTATTCAACAGGCATTGACATCTGGTTCCTATCACCACCACTGTGATCAATTCTGACACTAAGATTTTTCTCTAGAATTGAGCATTTCACATTAAACCACTCTGAATGAGGTTGTTTACATCTTAATGATTTAATTATGAAGAAAATTGTTTGAGTAACTAACATTGATGTATAATTGTTTTTAATAGACTTACATTCATGTGACATCATATCAATGCCCATGACTGGTGGCAGACCTGTAGCATGGATGTAGCATTATTCATAGTTTGACTGCAAAATGACTTCATAATTCAAAAGATATGGTGATATTTAGAAAAACTGTTCCTAATATGGGCATTAAGCCAACTACAGAATGATGCACAGCTTCAGAGGTGTATTAGTATGATGTCATTTGCATATTGCTTATTGTTGGCAATTTGTTTTTTATTTGTTGTTTGCATCAATTTGACTGAAATGGAATAGGAATGAGGAAGAGAAATTTCACTGATTGATTATGCATCAAAAGAAATCTGCGTAGTTGTTTTTCTCTCGTTCACACTGTGTGACTGAGTACAACTGCAAACTGATGGGAGGACGGGAAGTGTCCTGGCACAGTGAAGCCAGGCCACCTACACAGGCTAAAGGTCTGCCAGTTCTCTGCCAGAAAGGCAGTGAGGGTGTGCACCTACCCCATGGCCATGACACTTGGAGCTGCACTCATCCGCTTGCAGGAAGGATGCATTGCGGCACTCTCCACCAAAACAAATCTGCTCCAAGAGAAAGATAAAATATTGCATTGTCATACATGGTGAGTGATAACGACCGTGGCTACTGTTAACTATCGTTTTGCTTTCTAACATAACTCTCAGGGGAAGTTTTTTAAGAAATCATCCAAAATGATTGGTTCAAAACAAGCTAGACCAGTTAGTATTGCAGGCTACACCCAGTACTATTATGTGTACAGTACTCACTGCATTATCCCCACACTTGGTTCCTGTCATGACTAGCCCTGGGTCTAGTGTATCCCCCTGGTTCTCCTCTTCTTTGTCAGGACGGTAGACATGCGTACCTCGGCACAGGATTTTCCGATGGCCGTCAGGGATGGTGGTGTCGATAGGGACAGCATTGGTACCAATGGGTTTGGAGGAAGAGCTCAGACACTGAATTTTGCCACATTTAGCATCCCTTCAGTAGAAACATAATGAAATTTGCATCCTCCCTGTTTTTTAGTATATTTATGAGTTGACTCAAACTGTGAAAGACTCTAACCTCTCAGTGCAGGCCCTGTATTTTCCCATCAGGTCTTTGCCACAGTTTCCAAAGGAATCTCCAGCCTCATTCACCTTGGTGAAGCACAGATCTGGAGCAGATTGAGCGTCTGTAAAGGCACCAGAATGGCCAGTTTAGTGAACAAATACCTTTACAACCATGTGCTCTGTGACACATCTTACACACACTAAAATCTGCAGTAAATTGCAGAGGATTTAGGAAATTGGTCAGGCACTTGCTGGCAACTGCGGAAAACAGCAGATGGTATCACCCACTGTACAGTAGGTACTTGAGCACAGTATTACCAGGCATCCACTGTACAACCACTGAAGTCCCAGCCAAAAACAGCATGAAAGTCTGTTCGAATAAGTCTTCCCAACACAGTGCCATGTTACTTATGCCTTACTATTTTGGGCCATAGCAGACCCCTCCTGATATTGTTTGAATGGAAAGGTATAATTAATATCTTTCATATATTTGAAAGATATATTTGTTGTGATATTTACAATAAAGCTTGAAATATATGTCCAAACCTGACAGGTCTCGACTGCTCATGTTGGGTTCAGTCATCATTTGTGAATATATGTTCAAATTTCATGTTTGGGGATCCCACGGCCCGCCTCCCACTTTTCACAGATTTTACTCTGTATTTCCCCCTGCTTTCATTTTTCCTTGCTTTTTTTCGTCCCCTGCTTTCATTACCTTAAAACAGTTTTTAATCTAGCATGCTGAAGTCACTTACTTGAGTTGCTGACAGAATTTAGCACTGAGGTCCAGGGGGTGAAAAATAAAACAGCAAATCAATCCAGCAGAGTACAATGTAGTGGAGCTGAATGTATGTTAATATTAATTTGTTTAATATGTTCACTGTGTTATATGTAATATGCTGTATGTAAAGAAATAAAGTTTTAGAATGTGAAAGCTAACATTTTGCTATATCAGCATCGTACAGCATCAGAACAGCTTAGTATGGCTAGTATGGCTAAGTACTATAAACATCTGGAATGTTGTTAGAAAGCAGTGCTTGATGAAAACATAATATCAGAGTTTAAACTTCATTTTTTCGACTACTGATTATTTTATTATTTTTTACATATTATTTTACTTTTTAAGCATCTAATGACAGCTATTATTGTTATTACACAGTAATTTCACCTTGTTATCTTATCATGATTCTATCCTATTGATGAGCCAGTCCAAGTCAGATCTGGACAGAATATAGATGGGCTTGGGCCAGTTTCAGATTCAACTTTATGATGTCATTCAGATCGGACTCAGACACAAAGTTCTTGGGCTTTATTCAAGTTTGGACCAAAAAATTCTGGCTTGATTGAAGCTGTAATTTACATAAATTGATCAGTTTGTATAACTGTCATTGCTGTAGTCTGATAACAAGTCTATTCAGTGATAATCAATTATTATTTGGATCAGAGAATATTGGTAGTACAATACATCAAATGATCTACCAAAGTTAAAATATTTGGTGGATTTGGCTAAGCTTGGGGCTGTGATTATGCAACTGTCCAAGTTTAATGAGAATGACCCATGTATATTTGTGTTACCTTTTCCCCAGAGAGAGAAGCACTGCTGCTCCAGGGTCAGGCACATGCCTGTGTAGCAGTAGGCTTTGCCACGTGCACAGGAGCTGCCGTCCACCAGGTAGAAATTAGCAGGGCAGGACTCTGATTTTCCGTCACAGTATTCGGGCAGGTCACAGGAGCCTGAGGGAGGGCGGCACAGCACACCGGGACTCTTCAGCTGAAGGGAAATGAGCCAAGAGGGGATAAGACACAAAAGATCACAGTCATTTTTACAGGGAGTCGGTGCGAATGGCCAAGTGCAACTAGATGTCATTGAGAGAAAGTTAGCAAAGAGGAGATTACCTTGCAGTTCTCACAGCATACTCCATGGGCACATTCAGCACCTGCTTTCAGAGTGCAGTTATTGGCATTACAGCATGGACTGGAACACTCCTAGAACATTCAGAGAAGAAGAACATGAGACAAAACATGACAGAGAGAGTGAGATACACAGACTGTAGCGCAGTGGTTCCTGACTCTGGCCCTGGAGTAACTCTGTCCTGCATATTTAGGTATTTTCCCTGCTTTAACACATGATCCAACTAATCAGCAAATTAACCTCTTCAACATTAGCCACAGATAGCAAAAGCATGTTGTAAATTGATATTAATTATTTCTCACTTGTCACTGACACAAGCAGAGAAATTCTATGGAAAATGTGGATTCTAAACTTTCAGTTAACACTATTTGTAGCGTAGCATAGTGTAGCGCAACAGCCTCACCTCTACCTCTCCACAGTCACATTCCTCTCCCTCCTCCAGGTAGCCGTTGCCGCAGCGCTGGCCTCCATACAAGGTCCTGGCGTTGGGAGGATTAAATAAACATTTCCCCCCACCCGAGCTCAGATACCGCTTCAGCTCTGCCTGGTTACAGGGGTTAAACACACGTGGGAATGGGTGTCTGTAGAAAAGTAAAAAAAATAAGAACAAGACCCAGAACACCAAATTTAAAGGAAATATATGAGACAAAATCAAATTTCCATAATTATTCTCTTTCATAAAATGTAGATCAAGACATGTTTGGTGTCTGAGGTTTGCTTCTTTTTGCACTGGAGGTAACAAGCAATGGAAGCTTATATCCCACCAATTATAATCATGCAAACATTTGAGGTAATGAAAGAATTTAACTGATCTATTCCTTTGAAGAATTGAACAATTCCACCAACTACTATGCCAGTCAGTGCTGCAGAACTAAAATATCTACTGCAGGGAGACACAGACAGCATGAGAAGTTCAGCTATCGTTATTGTTCATTTCTTGTACTATAAGGTATTTCAGAAAGTAGAATTTCACAATTTGCTGGACAAGCCATTAGCTAAGACTAGCCTATAGCCGATGTGGCACTATATTTTGCTACTAAAATTCAGCAAAAACACATTTTTAAAGAGAATATAAGAATTTCATAAGTTATATGTAGTATAAAGGTATGTTTGTTCTATTTTTGGGTGGGGGGATTAAGTTTTCTTGCCGGCCAAATCAAATGTCCTAATTCTCCACACTTTTGGGCAGAGTTTAAGCAGTGGCTGGGTGTTTGGGGCTACAATGTTCAGTGATTGGGGTTTACCCCGTAGCTGCAGCCATAATGCAGCCCCCATCCTCTGGCAGAGCCTGGCAGCAGCCCTCACTGTCATGGCTCATTCCAAAGTTATGCCCTATCTCATGGGCCATGGTGGCAGCTATCCCGACTGCAATTTCAGAGTGGTCCTACAGAGAAAGTGTGAGAAGAGAAATAGGGACGTTATTTATGGTGCATGTACAATTGAAAAAAGATGTATAGCGTCATATTATACTAAATCATTTTACCGAGTTCACCCCTCCTGACTGGTATTCTGAGCACATGGCTTTAAGTGGAGCCAGTCCTATTGTGGTGCCCTGGAATGCCACACCCCTGCAAACACAGCAAAGGCGGCTGATTAGATTCAACTCACAATCATACTACCATTCACAAAAGCACATCTTTTCAGCTAGCAACTATAGCAACTACTAGCATAACACCCATGATTATGTTTCATGCATTGCAATGCCATGTTTGATGTGTTATGTTTGTTTTGTTAGTTTTGTACTGGAACTACAAGGTTAATGTAGCTAACATGGATGCTTAGCCCAGCAATCATGGACAAAAGTGCAGCCAAAATTCAGCATGGCTGCTACTGCTTTTACCTATGCAGTGCACTTTTCTCCATTTTTACAGATTACATTTTAATATAAACCTTTACATTGGCTGCACAGCTCCGGTGCAAAACTAAACAAGCAAACATCAGACACTAAAAAGGGGACAATTGTATAAATTTAAAACCCATCTGTTTAATTTGTGGCTGTGTTATTTTCTGAGGGACTGACGTGATGAGCTGTGCGTTGTCATTGGGCAGCTGTGGTAGCTGTTTCCTCCTCCAGGTGAGGAAGTCTCCTAGTGTGCGGTAGGGGTTGTCTGTCACAGTGATCATATTTTGATTGTTCCAAACCTCCAGCCAGATCAGTGCCACCCGGATATTCAGTGGTTTGTAATACTGAGAAAGTCAAAAGATGCAGAGAATAAAAAGTGCACACAGTCACTAAAAAAGAAGCCGAGAGGAAAGACAGGAAACTTCATGGTAGACACTACATAGCATATTCCAAAACCATGTGCAGCCTGCATAACTCACCTTGTCCACATAGTTAGCTGCCTCGAGCAGTTTGGCCTTGGTCTTCTGCAGGTCACGGCCATGTTTCACAAACTGCAATAGAGACAAAAAGGGGGTCAAAATGCCATTCTGACCTCAGAGGCCTCCCCGCCACAAACACACATACACACATCACAACGGCATAATTTAGGATGTGTGCCGTTAATATGGAGCCAGATGAATGATGAAAGGAAACAGGGCTCTATGATCATCTATGGCTGCACCACAGACTGAGTCATCAAACAGATAGTACTTCATTGCCTCACAGAAGCAAAACCAGACCCAGCTCACACTGGAGCTCTAGAACTGTTTACTCATTGTGTGGCATGAGCAAAAGATTCTAAGAGCCAGATTCATCAAAGATTTGCTATGTTTTTATCATTTAAATGGCATGATTGATGACTGTGGTGTGTCAAATGTTTCAGCAGATTGCTTTACTCATTTTGTTCCAGCACAGATGAGTTAAAGGCTTAAATGTTTCCCCTTACTTGTCTTTACTAGTCTTGGGCTGATAATTGATATAGATATCACAAAATGTTGGGGGGCATGTATTTTGTTTCTAGAGGCAAGGGACAAAGATGTACAAAGCTGCCTTTGTGCACCATTGTTGCAGGACTTATATTAATATTTTTTATCATTTGAAAGCATTAGTATCTCTTCTTTATTGTTAAGTCAGTTTTTTTTTTTTTACAAATTTTTCTAACAATGTACCATCACCAGCCCACAGTGCAGCATTGGCTGAGGATCACCAAAAGGTGTTTTGCGGCCGACCTGTGGTCTGTGGTTGAGAAAACTCTGCTCTACAGGGAACAAACTTAAATATGGCATTTTCTACTAATTTCAGGGCACAATTTCTATGTATTAGTTTAACATACTGCAAAATAATAAAACATAAAACATAATCGCAATAATTCTTCTGACAATAATTGTTTGTCTAAATTCACATTATTGTTCACCCTTTTTCTAATACAGTCAGTCAGCCAAGACATGCTTGGTGCCCAAAATTAACTTCTTTAGTTTTGCACCAGAGCTCAGAGGCTAATGTAGCTATCAAATAATGGAAGCTTATACACCACCGAATTCCATTCATCTTCATGCATTCGCACACTGGGTCCAGCTATGTCCAGTGCAGTAATAGCAATGCAGTGTGGAAAAAAGTAATGCAGTGCAACGTAAAAGAACAAAACTTTGGACACCAAACATGTCTTAGCTGACTGACCACATTTGGGGTAAGAGGAAAAACTATGTAAATGTCTTCATCAAACTATTCCTTTAATGAATCAGCTCCTAAATGGCTCCACTGGTATCTTGAATAGAGAAGCCTGACTGACAGGCTGCAATAAGAGAGGGGACAGTTCCCTAAAGATGACTGTAAGATAGCAGTGCATTTTATTATAGTTATAATGCTTTGTGGCTTTCATCACAGTGGTCCGTAATAAAGACTGTGCTTTCACCTCAGCATGATCAGCCACCAGCATCAGCTCCACGTACTTCGTACTCACATCTCTCCTTTTCTGTGAAGTGAAACCAGTGAAGAGAACAGGAAGGGCTGATTTTAAACACTTCTAAAGTTGAGGTGAGTCACTTACAAGACTTACAAGACATGATGCAAGAGGTCACCAAACGGGACATTTTCAGTGTATTTAATTGGTATAGGTGTTAGACAGCTTTCATTACTTGCTTTCAACTTTATTTAAAACCTCTTCACAGCATGGGCCTATATATAGGCCTACATACTCCTCACTCTCGTATCTATTTAACGCTATCTGACTCAATGTAATTGTTTGACAGCAGTTACTGAATAATTAATAGTAGTTACTGAATAAAAAATCTTAAGAAAAATAACAAAAATAGATTAATAATAGATTAATAATCAGCCCTAAAAAACAAACTAGTTCTTTTCATTCTTAAAGCGATAGTCTGGTGAAAAATCTAATTTACACAATTATATTATATACATATTCGAAATGTGACGTGTTGAATTTGCTTAAATTTGCTAAAATATATAACACATCAATACAATTTTGTGCTAGTTTACATTTGGCAACAATTCAACATAATATGTTTTATTCATGCAGAAAAGTAAATCCAGTGAATCACTGGTTTTCAGTGCAAAGACCTAGTACAGGAGCTTAATATGACAATTTGATAATATTTGATTAGCCATAACATTACCCTTTTGGCCTGGTGTGCCTGTGCAATCCCACCAATCAGCTCCTCCAACTTGTGTGTGTGATTCCGGTGGAGATGGCCACAGGTGCCGGTGTGCATCTTCAGTCTGTCAGTGCGGAACACGGCGTGGTCCTGCGAGACCGTGTGATTGACTAGAGGCTCGATCATGTAGGTTACACTGTGGTTCAGGCTTATCATGCCCCTGGAGATGGTACAAGACACCAAGTCAATGAGAGATTAGCATAAACTGGTGCACACTGACCTTAAACATGCACACAAAATACACACATACATTCACTCATGCACATATTGTCATAGACCTCTCAGAAGGACCACCGCAACTTAGATAAAGGGGTACTACAGTGTTTTTTGTGCCACTTCTGAATGGTTATATGGTCAATCACCATGAAAACTAATTTCCGCCGTACTTAGAAAAGAACTCCTATTACAGAAGCCAAGGGGCTTTCAGCACTTGCCCACAGGAGTCTATTGTAAGCATGTTTTGAGTGAATGAGTTTTCAGTTCTTTTTTGAGCAGAGGAAGGCATATTTCAAAAAAAGGGCATACATTTTAATGGACTGTATGCTACAGATCCAACAGATATTATCTGCTATGATCAAAAAACAGCAGTTTAGCATTTAGACTTAAGTCCGGCATAACTGACTGACTGTGGATCCTAGAAGAGCACATATGTGAAACAAGCTTAGTAGTGATTTATATATAATGACAGATCAGAATGCAGGTCAGTTCTGAGTAGAACTGCAGAAGTATTGAAAGTTCAATTCTTTTTCAATACTGTAATTTGACAAACATTTCAATACTCTAACTTTCAATACTTTCAGGTGTTTATTTATACAAACTATCTCCAGGTTTACGTTGTATTTAAATGACTCTTAATTAACTTACAGTACTCATTATATCTTTATTAGGCATATAACAATGCAACATGATCATACTGTATCAAATTGTATCACAGTGTATTGTTTCACAGTAGTATCATGACTAGTACTGTATGTTAGCCTGCAGCCAACCTATTTGCTTGTGGCTAGAGAGCATTAGATTGCGATACTATACAGCCCGTCTTTTGTTTCAGAATACTTTTACAACATTGAATGCTGTAATTAACTGAAATTTGAAACATTAACATATTAATGTAAGGCACGTTTTCAGCCACTCCTTATTTTAACTGATGCACTGATATGGGAATTCCGGGCCTATGCTGATATCTGCTATTTTTCATGTATGCATCTGCTGATGTTGATATATAAACATTTCTAAAATTTGGAAATTGATACTAAATCTACTTGAATTTGCCATCTAGCAACATGTGACACGTATTTGCAGAGAGATATAAATGCCGAACCAGAGTTTCTCAACTGAGGTAGGCCCTGGGCCAGTACTGGGAGTCAGCCAGTGGTCTGTAGTGGGGTTGCCCTTTGTCATTAAATCAGTCAAAAAACAAATGCCTTAGTAGTGATAAAGAAAAGTAAACGTTTTCAAACAGTAAACAACAGCCCTGCAACAAAGGTGCACAAAGCAGCTATTTTTTTCCGTTGCCTTGGAAAACAAAATACACCCCCTGAATTTTAAATTGAGTTCAGTAAATACATAATCAAATATCAGTTTCACATATCTGTCAAATCTAAACATTGGTCCATTAGTGATATTTTTAAAGCAAATATCTGTCAATACTGATATGATTCCAATAACATTGTGCATCCCTACTTAATTTTGCTGTATTGAAAAACTGTATCAAATCCAGCCACCACTGTATCGAAATCTGAATAGAATCACATTCTGTGAATCGCTACACCCCTAATCTTTATAGAGGATGATATGCTTCCTGATGAGGCGAGAAAGCTGGAGTATAAAGTTCAATTGATGGCAAGCTAGGGTTTACAGAACGTACATCTAGGTCACTTAAGCAAAAACAGACTGCACTGCTCCCAGAAGAGTGCTGTGCTGCTCCAGTGGCTTCCAAACTACACACACACACACACACACACACACAAACAGATGTGCACACACACACACACATACAAGAAGGAAGCAAACTGAAAAAAAAAGATTGCAGATGTGCAGTCGTTGGACGGTGAGCATAAACAAAACGCTACAGAATGTAAACAATCTGGCAGGACAAACACATTCACAGACAGCAGAGAAAGCACATAAACACCACAGACATACACACACAAGATAAAAAGAAATAAATCTATAAAACATGCAGAAATACAGACGCTCACATCCTAATACACCCACACAAGAGAGCTCTCTGAGTTTAGGTATAGTCTGCAGCTGCAAAAAGCATCTGGATGGCTGTGTGTGTGGAAGAGCCTCCCACAGCTTGAATCTTGCCATTCCCCAGTTCTGAAGGGCTGCACTGACTGTTCAATTCCAGAAGATGCCCATTAATTTGTAAATGTATTCAACCCGCCCCTTCCCCAGTGGTAGTAACAATGCAGTATCAGTCAAAGCGAGCCTGTTCTGCTGCCATTTGTCTCCTCAGAAGAACCCAGGCAGGAAGCTGGCTCTCCACAGGACACACAGAGCACGGAACAACACTCCATACATGCCCTGTCAGCCCACTCAGAGCCGCACATCCAGCCACACTCGCATGCGCTGAACCCTCTGAACTCAAACATGCTAAGAGCGGGGATGACCCAGAAACAACTGCTGCTCATACTGCAGCTCTGATTTACTGCAAGATTTGCACAATTTCTTGGCTCGTGCAAAAGCAGTGACATGAGTGCTCAGTTATGTGAATATATATTTGAATTATGCTGGAATTTTACAGGCTAATGTAACCAGTCACTCTGAAAAATAAACTTCCAAACATGTTCTTTAGAGCTTTGTCATAGACGAACCACTTTTGATTCCCTAAAGAACCTAATCTTTGCAGAACTGAAAGGCTGTTGCTTCTGAGTGTTTTGAGTTGACAGGTTTTCAGTTCTTTTCTAAAAACAAGTGTCTAAATTATTTTCGATGGTGAGCGACTGTACACTACCAATGCAGCAGACAGAACTTGGGTTGAAAAACACTGGCGTACTCACTTACAGAACCGTCTTCTGAAAGGTTCTTTGAGGAACCAAAAGTGGTTCTTCAACGGAACCTTTATTTTTAAGGAATTTGGCTACATCACAATTTAAAGCTAAGCAAAGCTACTTTTCAAGTTTAAATATAGAGATAGTATGTCAAAATGGAATTTCCCTCCAACAGCAGTATGTCATGATGAATGCATCACCTCATCTGGGTGTGGCTCCCACTTGACCTCCTGTTAGAGTGATGTCTGACTCTGCGTGGGGTTTGTGGTTATACCAAACAAGTTTTTTTGGAGTGATGTCACAAAAAACCCACTTTCCGTTTCCTATCAATGGACCTATCAATGGACAGGTATTTAAAGAATCATTTTTGTAAATGAGATGTGCGAGCATGAAAAACCTTTACAGGAGTCTACAGAGTTTACAGAACCTCCACATAATATTAAAGGATTCATAATGATACCAGAGGTCATCAATTCAGGTCCTGGAGGCCAGCGTCCATGTGTTTCAGCAGGATGATTTCCCTGCTCAAACACCAAATAAACCAGGCAATTTACAAATTAGTTGAATCAGGTGTGTTTTGTCAGGGAAACACAAACTGGACCTTCAATACCAATTAGAGTTTATTTTCCCTATACTCTTACACCCAAGCCAAGAACCACTTTTAACAATGTAAGGAGCAGATTTACTGAAGGAGGCACACATTACTGACAGTCTACTGACACTTGTACTGGTGGGGGTGGCCCATTTAGTTAGTTATCTACTAAGAACGTCCACATATGTTTATCCTTCTCTGATTCTACCCTCAAAGGTACAATGGTGGTTTTAAGGTACAATTCTGTACCTAAAATAAGTTTTCCAGGTGAAAAGTACATACTTGTACCTTTTCATAACCTAATGTTTTAAAACAGAACAATAAAATAAAAAGCCTGGAGATGAGACAACTTAGAAAACATAATTTCAATGAATTATGGTACAATTATGTTTCCTGACTAAAGGTACTGAGATGTACCCTTGAGATTAAGAATAGAATTTTACAAGCATTTCTTTCCACTGAAAATAAATAAATGCGTTAGAATCTTTTTCTCTTTCTGAGCTCCAACAGTGGAAGCCATATTAGCACCAAAAGCAAGACAAACTTTTCACGGGCATTAAGAAGCACACAATCAGTATTTACTCCGTCTTGGTAAATTGGAATAGGTATTATTATAAAAATCTACTCCCAGTAGTTTGTGCTTTGAGAGGGAAATTCCTAGAATGCAAATGCAATGAGACTAAAGCACGAAAAAGCAGTGTATGCCCCTCTGATCTTTCGATGGGATCTAAAGTGCTACTGTGTCTATTTAGTAGACTGACTGAAACAGTCAATGCCAAAAGAGAGTTTGCAACAGTGCAAAACAGCAGTGAATCTGCCCCTAAATATGATAATCCTGTGGAAATTCAGGAGCGTTTGGCTGAAGATCTGTTGCAGAGGCTGAACTGTCATGTGTGCGTGACTGCATTATAGTATAGTAGTTCTGGTTCTTACCTGAATCCAGCACAGGTGCTAAGAACAACGCTGGAATCCGGTACTCCTTTAACGGCACCATGGTAATAACAGTGCTCCTGAAAGAACAAAGCAACAGTGCAACCTTAGTTCAGGCTCAGCATTAAAAACCTCTGGGTTATATTTTCCTGTCTAACACTCAAGGAGAGTGATTCAAAATATGCAACTGTGTTTATAATAAAAGATAATACAAATGTCCGGCACTGAAATTTGAGATATAAAGGCTATCCATCAACCAAGGGGATGCTCTCTTCTCTCAGTGTTCATACCCTATCACTGGATTTAAAAGCACTGATAAGAACATTACAAATGGTCTTTTCCAGAGTTGTGTTGAGACTCTATCACGTGATAATCAATACAACATAAGATGTTCATTTATTATGAGCAGGTCTTCATGAATACCATCTGCTGTGCGTAGTTTTGGAACAGCTCCTGTACTCACCCTGTTGGATGGGCTGGAGAACTGGCGGGCTCCGTTTGAACTGTACCATATCTCCTGATAATCGGGGGCCAACAGCTCCCTTAAATACACAAAGACAAAAAAAGAATATGGATTAATACTGCACATTTAACTATATGTCTGCACCTAATCCTTATGTTAAGCATTGTTAATACTGGCACACCCTCCATCTCTCTCTGAAAGGAGGAATATAAACATGTCACGACTGTTGCTACTCCTCTTCTGAAGTCTGCTCTGAAGTAAATGAGGGTTTGATCCATATTAGGTGCAGGTTTCTGGATTTCACTGACTGGAAGATCTCTTTAATTATCTAATGTGTTCTAGGAGTATTTCTGGATGAGAAAATGGCAGAGTGCGGTACTGCACTCCTCTCTAATGGCTCCAAGCTCATAAAACATTCATTGTTACAAAACAGAGAAGCAGTGGAAGCTATTCAAGGGAGGAAAGCTGCAAGATGTAGATTAGTTAGCATTTTTTTTCATTTGTTTAAGATGAACTTGCTTCATTCAAATGTGTACATCAGATCCATATGCATTAAAATATATTACATCAACACAATTATTACCAAAATATTACACAATTAAAGACAAAATATGTTTCTGTAATGTATTTGATTTGACTAGAAAAAAACAGGTTTGAGGAATTTGGCTGCAACACACTTTAAAGGTAAGCAAAGATCTACAGATAGAGTTAGTGTGACAAAAAAAGAGTTGAGCAAGTTCAGCAGTATGTCATGATGATTGCATCACTTCATCTGTGGGTGGCTCCCACTTATTCTTCTGTATTTAGAATAATGTTTGACTCTGAGTGGGATTTGTGGTTATACCAATAAAGTTTTTTTTGGAGTGCTGCCACAAAAGAACCACTTTTGGTTTCCTAAAGAACCTATTAATGGACAGGTATATAATTCACAGAACCTTCATATAATGTAAAATGACGAACAACGATACCAGAGGTCATCAATCGACCACTGAAATTGTTTCTGTAATACATGTGATGCATTTTGTGCAGTCAAAGGAAAACAAGTGAAAAAATAGGAGTTTCCAAAACACGAGGTCGAAGAATTGTTAAAAGATACAGACAATGTGGGACTCCATACTAACTGTGCAAGCCCTGGTAGGACACCAAAACTGTTACTATCAGATAAACAGCACTTAAAGCTTTCATCTGTGAGAGAGAGGAGAAAATCAAGCTCCACTCTTACTACAGATCTGAAAAAATCCACAGGTGTTTCTGTTCATCCTTCCACTGTGAGAAGACAACTCAACACTATGCGTCTGAAAGGATGTGTAGCTGTCAAGAAAAATAAATAGTCAAAAAGAAAAAAACTCTAGAACTCCAAAACTGGATATCTGAGATGTGTACTAAGGTTTTTGGGCCTTTTAGAGCCACGTCTACCATGTCAGTCAAAGGTGAAGAAACAGTGCAAATTTGGGGTTTTATAACAACATCTAGAGTTGATTTTGACTGAAGGCATTAAGAGTACAGATGAGTACAAGCAAATTTGAATGCATCATACTCTACCCACTGGAAAACATTTGATTAGGAAATTCATTATACAGCAACGACCCCAAGCACTCTGCGAAAATCAAGACAGGCTTCTCCCAAAGAAGCTGCTGGTGTTCTCATAACAACAGACTGACCACACCAGAGCCCAGAACTCAGCATCACTGAACGTGCTTGGAGTTTTTCTGAGTGTGAGTAGCAGGAAATACAACCAACTTCTAAGACTGAACTTTGTGTTTACAAGAAGCATGGGAAAACATCTCTGCATATTTCTTTGAAAAACTGAAAGAAAGTCTCTCAAAAAGAATGAACGCTGTAATAAAGGCAAAAGATGGACACACTAAATACTGAAAAATGTGATATGTCTACTTGTTGGGGCTTCTGTGCAATTTTCTGCTGATTAATAAATAAATAACTTGTACTTAATGGCCATTTTAACTGGAAATTAAATCAAAGAAATGGTGGTTTCTGACTTTAGTGCTATACTATAAATAACGTATGCATTTCAATCAAACATAGTCCATGCATTACTTTCTTCAGAGCAGGATTTCACTTTTTAAAGCATTTTTGAATGAGAAATAGTTCAAATATTTTACTTTTACTCTTCTATGGATCTTCAAACTGTGTCCTCTTAGAGGTTCATTGAGCTGTACTATAGTTCACACCCTGCTCTCACTCTGTCACTCAAGAACACTGCGTCAGTCCCATAAATGGCTTTGCACTTTGAATTTAAGCTGATGCCAGGCCTACAGTACTCTGTTACAGTGTGGATCACAGCCTCACAGCAGAAAGCAGAGTACCTTTACTTTAGCACTGACTGTAACACTAACATACTGAAATAGTTTCTTGAAGAAATATTTATTCTACTACTGTATTACAGATCTGAAGTGCAGTCTTTTGGTTCTACCAGGTCAGTAAGCAGACTTGGCAGTGTCTCAGCTGCAGTCTAGACAGAGAGCAAACTATGCTGCCGGTTTACAGTTTAGCTCTTCCTGGGTAGGAGGAAGGTTACAAGGAGCAATACTGTTTTCTCAACAATGCCAATTCCTATTGCTAATAATCTGTTTTACAAATCCTCATGTTTTACAAAAGTCATTTTCAGCATTATTTCAGGCATTCTAGTGATGTACAAATGAAGACCCAGTTTTCCTTAGCTGATCAAACAGACAGGGATTCTCGCAGTGGGGGCAACGTCAAGAATAACTACCTCCGTCCTCACCAAAATAACTGTTTAGGATTTCAGTGGCCGGGGTGGGGCTGGTGGTATGCACAACACTGATCTCCTGCACTGTGAGTTATCTCCACACACAGCAGCCTCATCTGAAAGGTTAAATATCTAGACGTACTCCAACTGGATGATACCACAAGCCTGGTAGAACTACATGGATATTTGCCCATATAATATAATCTTACATGGATTTACCTGCAATATAAGGTTTGTATGCATCACAGTCCTGAGTACTGAGGATTACTGAATCAAACAGTATTTTATATTTAAAAGTTTGGAATCTATCACGGCCCCCGGTTCTCATTTGGACTTTCATTCTGTTACTCCACTTCCCAGAATCCCTCAGTTTGTCACATAACTCCATCAATCAATCACAAACCAGATCTCAGTCACCTGAATATTGATTACCATCCCCTGTTTTTCTTTGTATATAAGTTTGTCTGTTTGCACTCTTTGTGAAGTATTGCCCCTGACCAATCAGTGCATACCAAGCCGTTCTTTGTTCGATTGCTGTCCCGTTTATGACCTTGCTTTGTTTTCTCGTTGCTGATTCTTGGACTTGTCCTTTTGGCTTAGTCTGCCTGTGTGTTTGCTTTTTGGTTGTGACCCTTGCTTGTTTACCTGACTCTATTATCATCTTCACCCATGTATTGTATTTGGTTAATCTGGTTGCTGACCTGGTCTGGAGTTAACCCTGTTACTTCAGTTCATTCTCCTCTTAATAAACCTTACGGTTTATCTTTTATTCATGAGCGTCTAATTCGTCAACCCAGAGTTACAGAATCACATTATATTAATTATATTAATCATTTGTATCTTGCAGAACTGTGCAAAAGTCGGAAATGCTTATCATTTGTTTAATTACTAGTCAAAATGGCCATAATGTCTCCCGAAAGGAAAATATGTTAAAAAACTGGAGTTCATAAAATTATTAAAAAATATAGATAAAATGGCACTCTAACAACCATGTGAGTCCTGGTAGACCACCAATCACCAAAAGTGTCACCTTCAGATAAACAATACTTGAAGCTTTCATCTTTGAGAGAAGGAACCTGCTGGTGTTCTCAGAACAATGGACTGACCACCACAGAGTCCAGACCACAACATCACTGAATGTGTTTGGAATTATTTGGATTGTGAGAAGCAGAAAATGCAACCAACTTCTAAGACTGAACTTTGGAAGTGTGGAAAAATATCCCAGCAGATTTTTTTGAAAAACTGAAAACGAGTCTCCTGAAAACAATGGAAGCTGTAATAACGGCAAATACTGAATACATTAAATACTGAAAAATGTGATATTATATTTAGTTGCTGAGGCCATTCTGACTGGAAATCAAATTTGGGTCGCACAGAACTTTATACACAGTCATTACTTACATAATGTAGGTTTAGACATTATAAACTGGATATTTGAATCTTTTATTCAATATTTCAAGTTTAAAAATAACAAGAAGTTATTACATGATAGATAGAATAATATGCTAATAGTCTACTTCTCCCAAAAAGAATTGTCTCGCCTGAACCATCTGGCCTAAATTTTGATCACCACTTTTTAAGGTCTTAATTTTGTTTGACAGCTTCCTACTAACATATCAGAACCATTTTATTCACTTATCTGCATCCCAAATGGTTTCATATTATTATTGAACAGTTTACAGTCAATAAGTTGAGTTAACAACAAAACGAGGAAAAATCTCTCATTCTCATTCTCAATCTCTCATTCACAAATAAACTGCTGTTCAAAACTCAACAGGTCAACTGCTAAATTTGACAAATAGAGTTTCTCCATTAAGCAGACAGATCCACCCAGAGCAGAGGGGATATTTATGGCTCCATTATTTACTGTTGACACTGCTGCACCTCCCACACACACAGGCAGTGGGTCTGTAGGGCAGGCTGAGTGAATGGTGACTGCTCAGTGTCAGGCAGGAGCTCTGTCTCTCTGTGTTTATACTGGAAACTCTTAACAATGCTCTGGACACAGTCCAGACCCACTGGGCTGCGACCCCATGACCATCACACAGGAACACCCGCACCGCTGCACCTCCTGAGGCCACATGGGATACTACCTAATCAGCTCATCCCTGCCTCCTCTAGGCTCAGGAGAAGTGCAATAGATGCTCAAAATGAAACGTGTTTATGATGTGGGACCAGTTACCATTATCCGAACGCAAATCCAAACAGCTCTAAAAGAAATGACGATGCTGTTCCCAGCACAGCATAGAAGGTTAACTTTGGTCGTCCTCAGATGGGCAGTGAGCCTGGAAATGACATCAGCACCTGAGCACCCACTCGGCCACAGCCATAAATAGCTTTATGGTGCACTA